GCTGCTTCGCGTATCGAGGCGCAGAAACAGCAATGTTACAGTGAGACAGACCGTTTATCTCCATGCAGTAACAAAACTGAACTAAACGTGCAATGGTAGCATCGCCTGTGGGAAACTTTCAGGAACAGGGACGGAGAGTCTGGTGCGGAACGAGACCGAGGCCTTGACCTTGGTTAGTGCTGAGATGATGGGTCGAAACGTGGTCTGATGTTGGGCAGTCAATCAATCAGTAACTGACTCGTGGTTGACGCCTACTGCAAGATCCCGCTGCCATTCAACGGCTGGCGTCAGAGTTTAGAGCCCGCATTCTTTGCTTTTTGCTTTTCTGGAAGGACTTGATGTTGTTTTGACAGCTTGGAAAAGATGAGCAGTCACTTTTGGGATCAGGGCCCTTCATTCATTGTTAGTGGAGGTGGAGGTGTAGATGAGGTGCACGTGACCTCGCATTGGGGCGCGTCACCTTCCCAGCTACTGCTCGCGTCTCACTAAAACAGTCCGCGTAAAGCACCTCCAATTCATCCCACACACGTCACAGCTCGATTGTGTCACACAAATCGTAAGCTGCACAAGATGCCCGAGTTCACCGGTGAGTCTCTATTGTAGCCCAGTATTACTGCAGCTCTTGCTAACGACCGTAGAGGCGGATACCATTCGTATCCTCGTTGCGACCGACAATCATGTCGGTTATGAAGAGCGAGACCCCATTCGTAGGGATGACAGTTGGAGAACTTTCGATGAAATTTTGAACCTTGCCCGGACCGAAGATGTACGACATATTGCCTTTCTTCTTGATCATTGCTTCTAACATGCATAGGTCGATATGGTTCTCCTCGCTGGCGATCTCTTTCACGACAACAAACCCTCCCGAAAGTCCCTGTACCAAGTCATGCGTACACTCCGACAAAACTGCTTGGGCATGAAACCTTGCCCTCTCGAGTTTCTCTCCGATGCTGCTTCTGTCTTTGAAGGTGCTTTCACGCATGTCAACTACGAAGATCCTGATATCAACATTTCCATTCCCGTCTTTTCGATCCATGGCAATCATGATGATCCTTCTGGAGAAGGTAACTTCTGTTCGCTTGATCTTCTGCAAGCGAGTGGACTTCTCAACTACTACGGCCGTGTCCCCGAGGCAGACAACATCGAGGCCAAGCCGATTCTGCTACAGAAGGGTCTTACAAAGCTTGCCTTGTTTGGATTGAGTAATGTTCGAGATGAGCGAATGTTCCGTACTTTCCGAGATCACAAAGTCAAGTGGTTTCGCCCTGAAACCCAGATGACTGACTGGTTCAATTTGTTAGCTGTCCACCAAAATCACCATGCGCATACAGCCACATCCTACCTCCCCGAGAATGTCTTGCCCGATTGGCTTGACCTTGTAGTCTGGGGTCACGAGCACGAGTGTTTGATCGACCCTACACAGAACCCCGAAACAGGATTCCACGTCATGCAGCCCGGCTCATCTGTCGCAACTTCACTGGTGCCCGGTGAGGCGGTTCAGAAGCACGTCGCTATTGTGAGCGTGACGGGCAAAGACTTCAAGGTCGACAAGCTTCCTCTCAAGAGTGTGCGTCCCTTTGTCACACGGGAAGTCATCCTTTCACAAGACAAGCGCTTCAAAGGACTTGACAAGAAGAAGGAAAACCGCCAAGAGGTGACCCGAAGACTGATGGAGGTGGTTGAGGAGATGATTGAGGAAGCCAATGCGGATTGGGAGGCCATTCAGACGGACGAAGAGGCTCTAGAAGAACGGCCTCTTCCACTCATTCGGCTGAAGGTGGAGTACACAGCCACGGAAGGTGGCCAGTTTGAGATTGAGAATCCCCAGAGATTCTCAAATCGATTCGTCGGTAAGGTGGCCAACACGAATGATGTTGTCTACTTTTACCGCAAAAAGACATCACAGCGTAAGTCAATATTGCTATCAGCTAGAAATATCACTAACAAGGCCAAGGCAAGGCTAATGCTGCCAACCCAACGGAAGCTATTGCAGCACTTGATGGTGCTGATGACATGGTCAAGGTGGAGAATCTGGTGCAAGACTTTCTGTCGGCGCAGTCACTCAAGGTCCTTCCCCAAGGACCTTTTGGCGATGCTGTGACTCAGTTCGTGACAAAGGATGACAAGCACGCCATGGAGCTGTTTGTTTCGGAGCATCTAACGGGACAAGTCCGATCTATGCTGGGCTTGGAGTCGGACGACGAAGATCTCAACAGTGCCATGGATATCTATCGAATGAGGATCGAGCAGCAGCAAGCTAGTGGCATGCAGACAGCACGAGCGGAGAGAAAGCGAGTTCTTAAGCCAAAGCCAGCGACCTGGGACAGTGACTTTGATGGTAGCTGGGAGAATGAGCCAGATGCCTGGACATATGAGGATGAACAACAGGCCGAGACCTCTTCTCGCGCATCTGCACCCGCGCCTGCGCCTGCACGCAAGACTGCTCGTGGACAAGCCAAGGCGACTCAGCAAGATGATGACATGGACTTGATGGACGAAGATGAGCCACTCCCTGCACCCACCAAGAAACCAGCAGCCAAGCGAGCAACACGCGCCACAAAAGCAGCACCGGCCAAGAAGGCTCCTGCTAAGGGACGAGGACGAGGCCGCAAGCCATTCGAAGACAGTGAAGACGAGGAAGAAGACGTGATCATGGAGTCGGAAGAAGAGCCTGCACCTCCTCCGCCAAAGACACGACGAACCGCAGCGAAGAGTACCGCCAAGGCCCCGGCGACTCGAGGAGCGGCTAAGAGTACTCGACAGACAAAGTTGAACTTTTCACAGTCGCAGAAGGGTGGTACGCAGAGTAAGGCTGTTGAGATTAGCGATGATGAGATTTCGGATGATGATGATGCGTTTGAGCCGGCGCCTACGACGACACGAAGTACGAGGAGGAGATAGAGCTGTGTGTGGAAAAATACCCTGGGCGCGTAAGAAAGGTATAAAGAGTCATGATGAATTGAGCACTGTCACGGCTACGGCACATGATACTTGACATCCCTATCCTGCGAAGCGGTTTGGCTTACAGGCCTACGATATCTACCGGGCAAGAACTGTTTTTCAAGACGACAATATTCACCTTGATGGCATTTACAATTCCACTCCATGCCTCACAACGATGCTCCTCGCAAGAGCAACATGATGAGTCTTAAACTTGGACATGGGTAAACCAAGTGACTAAGTCCGATTCCCGTCATCGATTAGACTCATCACAACAAGTTACATCCACTGGCTAAGTCTTATCTTGCATCACATCTCATCCGACATCGCCTCCCACTTCGGGTCCGAAGTCCGAACTCATGATGCCGCAGCGGGCCGCATATCTCCATGTCTATGCGGGGTAGCTTCAAAGGTAGTCTAGCTCCCAACCTCTCACTCAGCTTTCCAACGAACTCTGACGATCTATCTCACCTTGGAAACGAAAAGAGGCGCCGAGGCATCCGCAGGGTGAAAGCATTGAAATATTTAATACTGTGTAGGTAGAAATGGGCTGGCTTGGTTTAGTTTGCCCCGCTCGTTGCAGCATGCCATCCTCACCTGATCTATATAACCACTCTTCTACCCCAACTCCAACTGCATCTTTCCGTGCCTGTGTCTGTACCTGTGTTTTTGTCTAAGTGATTGAAAATGGCTGCAGCTGGTCATATCCGTCTTGGAACCGCCTCCCCAGGCACCCAATCCTCCACCGCCTCCACCATCGCCCTCATCGACACCCTCGCCCAGCGCGCATCCTCATCACACATCGACATCCTCCTCCTCCCGGAGGCCTTCATCGGCGGTTATCCCCGCGGCAGCTCCTTCGGCTGCGAGATTGGGAATCGCAGTGCAGAGGGACGCGATGAATTCGCTCGTTACTTCGATTCAGCCATTGATCTCGGCGACACCGTTGGGCCTGGCGGTGGTGGTGCGGGGCTCAAGTGGGTGAAGAGACAGCTTGGTGAGGAGGATCAAGTCCGTGGTGATGGCTCGCGTGAGGAACTGGAGCGCATTGCGAGGGATACGGGTGTTTTTATCGTGGTAGGATGTATTGAGAAGGCGGGTGGGAGCTTGTATTGCTCTGCTGTTTATGTCTGTCCCAAGGAGGGTATGCTTGGAAAGCGTCGCAAAGTCCTCCCTGTGAGACCCCCGTCTACTACATGTTGATATGAAGCAAACTAACGGTGATAGACCGGCTCTGAGCGCCTCATCTGGGCTCAAGGCTCACCTAGCACCCTCCGCGCCGTGACAACCACCATCCGCGGCATACGCATCAATCTCGCCGCCGCAATCTGCTGGGAGAACTACATGCCGCTCCTCCGCCAATCTCTCTACGCGCAGAACATCAATCTCTACCTCGCGCCCACAGCCGATAACCGCGATGCGTGGCTCGGACTCATGCGAACAGTTGGTGTTGAGGGGCGCTGCTTCGTCGTCAGCAGCAACATGTGCGTTCCCAAGAGCACCACTTCCTCTGAAACAAACGGTGTGAGACAGCGTCGTGGATCGTGCATGACAGAGGAAGGGTTTGAGATTGCGCTGCCGAAATCGCCGACTCGAAGAAGACGTAAGTCTGTGTTTGACGAGGATGGGAATGAGATTGTGTTGGGTTGTGATGATGACGGTGTGAACATTCAACCTCCCCCTGCAAAGAGCGCTGTCTCTTCTGGAAAAGCAGAGTTTCTATCTCGTGGTGGATCGTCGATTGTCTCGCCGTTTGGAGATGTCATTGCTGGGCCGCAGTGGGAGGATCCAGATGGTTTGATCTTTGCGGATGTTGATTTCCGTGATTGTATCAGGGGTCGTCTTGATATTGATACTGCGGGGAGTTACTCTCGAAACGATGCCTTCAAGTTTAGCGTTGAGGGGCTGAACTTGGATCCTCTTCCTTATTGAGGGGACAGAATGTATGTAAATAGTGTATCAGATTGTAATGCTAACGCCTGCTTATGCTTATGCTGTGCTGTGCTGTGCCATGCCTTTTATGGGTATTCCTACGCCTCGCTGTCCGAAATATCATCAAGTTACTTGGATTCATCACCAGGTGGTGATCGTTGTCTCTGCTCCTCCAGCACCTTCCGCTCAGAATCAACCTCCTTTCTCTGCCTTTCAAGCGCTGCTTGGGCGAGTACCTCTCGTCTACTCATCCCAGCAGTGGAATTGTTATTAACCCCTCCCAGGACAAATTCACCACCCGTCCAACCTCCAAAGTCCTCAGGATAATCCTCCTCTTCCTCATCACGTCCAGAAACGGTGTATCGCGATGTTTCGCCAATCGTGTGTCCACCTGATTTCCAATCCGCAGCGTCAACTTCTCGTTCAATCTGATGACACAAGTCCCAGAAGTTTCTGTCATGCGGACCATGGACATTATGCGCCAGTTCGTGGCACAGTGTCTTGCGAATGGTCTTGTAATCGCGATATCCATCATGCGCATCTGTTCGTAACCGTAGTTCGATGACCTCGCCTTGATTGCGATTCAGTCCCAGAATGCGACTTGTTCCCTCGTGTGTTGTCTGCGTATGCGAAAGAGGTTCCATCTCTGTAAGAAGCCCAACAGCGAATTTATGCTTTGTCATGGCAGCGCGAATACCAGGGTCTTCCTTCAATCGCATAAGAAGTTTCTGGCTGCGATCTGGGTTCGGAAGACCTTGCAGCGGTCGGACTTGAAGAAATGTATATTGCGAGTCTTGTGGATTTCGGCGTGTCGTCGTCGTCGCATGCCGTGCTTTGCTCCTCTGCGCCATCCTCGCAGCATTGCGCTTCGCAACACGCTCGGCCATATCCTGCACCTGCTGAATCTCCGCAGCGCCAGAGCCCATGAGCGTCAAATGCTTGCCCTTGAGGTCGAGGAGGGGCATGTCGGGGTTCTTGAAGGGGGCTTTGAGGAGGGGAGTCTTTGGGGCGATGATCTTTTGGTTTGCGACGGGGATATCGAGACTCGCTTCGATCTCGTTGAAAAGGTCTGTGATGGTCGCATCTTCGGGGAATGAGAGTTCGTAGGTTACTTTTCGGTGTGTGATTGCTAGTGTGAGCCAGGACTGCTCGCTGTCGGACATGGGAGAGTCTGCCATGTTTGTACAGCAGCGAAGTGGCGATGGATTCGTTGGAGACGTTATTGTCACGGTTGTTGAAAGAAGTAGCTAAGTGTGATTTTGTGTTTGCGATTGTATTGAAATGACGTGATGGGAAAAGATAAGATTGTATGGGGAGATATTTGTTTTATAGGTGTAGAGTTGGTAAGCAAGAGGGCGATTGATCGTTTGTGTCGCGTAGATTGAGTGATGCTATCGTGTTCGGGGACTTTCGGCGTCTGCTTTGTAATACGTCACTTGCACTGCCTGCCCGGGCGCCACCTCTAAGCAGACCTAAGCAGATCTGAGGCACTGAAGAATTTACATACAGAGATGATTATACATCGGAAATAGTGAATACGGAATTCGTGGCGAGTACCGATAAGCCCGACTTTAAAACAATTAGAATTGAGTTTATCAAAGCATTAGAGAGAGATTGAATGTGGCGATGGTTCTGATTGCCGAGGATTGTGGGATGCCTCAATTGGTAATAGACGGAAAAGTCTCTGAGGTTCTGTAACACAACACAACCACTGTAGTCATTGTAATGCCAATGTGTAACAAGACCAACAAAATCACTCAATTAAACACCCGTGTTTATTCAATCACTGGTTCCGTATTCGCATCTCAATATCATTGACACATCACATCGGTCAGCTACCCTAAATCAACCGGCCCCGAGATACCCTCTCGTACGAGTGTCACCATATGATAACGACGATCTTATCACTCCCATCACGAGATCCGTTCCGCTGGTTGCATTCGCTTCAAAAGCACGAACTCGAACCAAATGCTTGGGTCCGTCCGTTCCCGTTCCCGCGTGTGCCACCCGAGCCTCATCACCAGCCTCAGCCTCATCGACATCATCGCTTGCGGTAGATCTCGCGCTTGCAACGTCACTATCGACACCAAAAAAAAAAAAACCGTTGAGATCTTATCACGATCGATCTAAGACTTTAGCTTCTTGTGGCTTATAGCCGAGACGTGAACTATTACCGACGACAACTACACTCAAACTAATAATAAGATGTGATCTGTAGACTTAGACCATGTCCTCACCCGCGAGTGTCACGTATCACATAATTCTGAGAAACATGTAACAAACTGAAACCCAATTTCAACTCTTTATTTACTCCTACTATACAGAGTACATATAAACAAGAAAAAAAAAAGCAAACGAAGTCGTAAACTTCATGCCCCCAAAAAACGCCGCTAGATATAAGACGTGAGAAAAAGCATCGTTCGTCGTCGTCGTCGCCGAATTAAATAATAAGCATTCATATAGTTTTTTTTATACTTATGCTCCCTCCCTGCAGAATTACATGTCACTATTGGCTATGCACTTGTCAGATGAGAAAGGCGGACAAAAAATGGTAGAAAGGGTCCGCAGCATAGAGGGGAGGGGGAGAGAAAACTTACAGTAGTGCCAGTGTAAGATCACCGTGGATTCTGGCCTTGAGCTCGATTTCGATCTCGAGGTTAAGCTCGAGATGCAAGCTGAGGGCGTCGCTCTTACCGCCGCCTCCCTGCTGCTGCTGCTGCTGCTGCTGCTGCATCTGTTGCTGTTGGCGCTGTTGCTGCATTTCCTGCTGTTGACGCTGCTGCAGTTGCTGGTCTTGCTTCGAAAACTGTTTGCGGCCCTCATCGTCAGATTCTTCGTCGAGCCATGCAGGGCGTCGACGTCTTACATCGCCGGCCTTTGCGTTTCCGCGTTTTCCGCCCTTACGGCCTGGCTCAGCCTGCTGGGGAGGTGTAGCGGGCTCGTTCTCCTCTTCGGACTCTGACTCTGACTCGTCGTCTTCAGAGTCTTCCTCCGAGTCTTCTTCGGAATCATCTTCAGAGTCAAAGTCGTCGTCGTCGTCGTCTTCAGAGTCGTCCTCGTCCTCGCTTTCTTCCTTGACGGGCTGGCGCTTCTGCTTGGGCTTGGCCTCTTGGGGGGTCTTTTGGGCCTCGGCCTTTGCTTGCTCTGGCTTGGAGTCGGCGTCATCCTCCTCTTTCTTTACTTCCTCGGGCTTCTTGTCGTCTACCTTGGCCTCTTCAGGCTTTGAATCCTCGGGCTTAGATTCCTCTGGCTTTGACTCATCGGGCTTTGACTCTTCAGCTTTGGGCTCTTCGGGCTTTTCCTGACCAGGTTGCTCAGGCTTGTCCTCCTTGTCGCCGGGTGTCTCAGCCTTTGCGTTCTCGATGTCGGGCTTAGACTCGTCCTTAGCATCTTCGGCCTTGGACTCAGACTCTTGACCTGGCTGTTGCTGTTGAGCCTCTTGTCCCTGGCCCTGGTCCTGGTTCTGTGACTCTTGCTGACCCTCGTTCTGGTTCTGATTGAAAGGGTTGCTGTCGTTACCCTGCTCCTGTTGGTTCTGGCCTTGACCGGGAGACTGAGGAGCCTGAGATTCGTCTCGCTTCTGCGAGTCCTAAAGGAATTTAATTCCCGATCAGACGATACAAACTCGCAATACAACTTACCTGCTGTTGAGATGGAGAAGACATGGTTGTGTATGCTGGTATTTACTTCGCTGAATGTACAATGGGTTTCCAAAAAAACAATGGGTTATTTTCTTGCTGCTGACATGTAATAATTAAGTTGAAGTTTTTCTATACTGAAGTTCCAAGCATGGTTTTTGAGATTAATACGTGTCGAGTCCGAAACCTGTTGAAGAAGCTTGACTGACGCAATAAGTGTCATTGTATCCCGACCTCGAACCCTCGAAGAACCGGTTTCTATCGTTGTGATGGGATTGGAAACGAATATCGACGTGACAGGTCAAAGTGACGTAAAAAATGGCATCCCAATCCTGGCCATATGACGTTACCCCCCATAACTTACCCCCAGCTTGGGCCTGATGGGGGTGGGAGTGTAGAAGGGTTGCAGGGATCAGGATTATATGCGTGCGTGTGGCTGGTGTTGAGGAAAATGTATGGGTCAAGATCCTACTGTACAAAGTGGACTGGACGTCATGCAGTGAAGGAGAGTGAGTCTTGCTGCTGTCAAACACAGTTACCCTTTCACAATAAGGTACGCGACAAACAACAAAAAAAAAAAAAAACAAGTCCAAAAGAACAAAACAGATCAGGAAAACATGGTTATCGGATTACTGGCCATCGCGGCCATCCCGACCGTTACAGGCGTGGGTAACGCCGTGAGTGCACAGAAGAGACAGAATGAGAGCATGAGCAAGGAACAAGAAAAGTTCCACCTCACATTCATGCTACAACAGAATGGAAAGACAGAAGAGGTTGGCCAAGGAGTTCTCGTGGACAAGAAGGTGAGTTCCCTTGCTCTCTCTCTCTCTCCCTCTCTCTCTCTTCACTACCTAGACACATACTTACAGAAACACTAGATGTATCTCAACCTCTCAGATGCCCCCGTGCAAGGCTACAGATTTCTAGGCTGGTATTTCAAGTATCCCAGCGAGGAAGGGCACCTGGGGCTGGTGAGCATGGTATCCGACGACCCGCCAGCGCTGAACTGGATATTCGTGGACAAGGACACGCACATGGTGACCTTTGGGGGCAAGAAGGACACCATCGGGCACGTCATAGGACCCTGGGGCTGGACAGCAGATGAGCGCTTCCTGACGCTGCAGGGAGATCATGATTCGTTTGTGGCGGTGCGGGACGAGCATGGGAAATGGGCTGTATATTGGGACCCGGAGGGTGATATTGAGGAGGAGATTGACGACGAGGAGAGATGTCAGCCAGTGAGACTGAGGAGAAGACCACAGCTCGGCATGGAAAGCAGTTATGTCAAGAAATAAATAGCATGATATGACTGGGGTAGTCTAACTTAGTGAGTATGTAGTCGTAGTGAATGTCTGGGGCAGACCGTTAATGGCCGTTAGAGATTTGTAGTGGAGGGGTCAAGTCAAGTCACCTACATAAAGTGGGTTGGGCTGAGCAGGGTATTTTACTGGATTCTCATCTCGATCATGACCTCATGGGCTTCTAAATCCTGTTATCAAGTTCTGCGTAGTTTCAAACTTATATCACGTCCCTTTCTTTAAGTTACCTTAATTTCTCCAAACTGTACCTTTTTAGTGAGATATCCAAACCATACTAATCCACTTACACCACCAACACTCACATAATCGCCAAACTCATCTTTAAGCAAGCGACTCTTTAATTCATCATGTCTTCCATGGAAAAGGATCGCATCGAGTCTGACGACCAGACCATGTCCAGCGAAGAAGCGCCCCGACGAGAGCGCCGCAGCAAGAAGAAGGGCAGCAAGCGTCGCCAGCAAGCACCACCCCAACAGCAGCAGCAGCAGCAAGGAGGTTCAGGACCCCTTGACCAGCTGCCTCTCGCCGGAGACTTGGGCAACACAGTCGGCGGCGTCACAGACGGCGTGACCAACACCCTAGGCGGCGTGACGGGCGGTCTGGGCGGTCTCACGGGCGGTCAGCAGCAGGGCGGCGGCGGTGATGCTGGTAAAGACACGCTGCGACTGCGCCTGGATCTCAACCTCGATATTGAGATCCAGCTCAAGGCTCGTATCCACGGTGATCTCGAGCTCTCTCTACTGTACGTGATGACTCCCCCCAATCTTTTGTTTAACCTCCCTGTGGCCGTCGTATCTTACTTGGCTTGCAAATCTCCAGAACGGGATAGACGCCGCCTTGATGACAAGCAGAGGCTAATTATTGCTTTGCGCTGTGCAGAAACTAGAAGAGATTGTCACTATTTGTCTCGGTTATGTTTATGTCTGGCTTTGGCTTTGTTCTGTTCATGTCATGATGGGACCCATGTTGGGACCCATGTAATGTTACTGTTAGTACGACAGCACGACGATGATCTGTGGCGGCGCAACATGGTGTTTATTAATGATGGTTTACTACTGCTGCTGTTTCTGGGAGGGATAAATACAACAACACTACAACGTTATATATTACATGAATCCAAAAGCATTCACTCTCTACTCTGTCTGCCTCTGTCTCTGTCTCTGTCTCTGTCTCTATGTGAACACCGTGTAATAGTAGACAATTCCCAGTTCCTCACACTGAGTGAGGAAAGAGTGACGAAAATGAATAAACATGACAGACCGTCTGAAATTCCCCGAGACTAACCAAAACGTCAGATTGCATCAAATGACAAGGATGTAGTTGGCACCTAGCAAGCCACACACGATAATGCCACGCAAGCCACCTCCAACACCATCCTCTTCAAGTCTAGCCCAACCGTTCCAGCCAGGAACCAGCTTCAGAGAAAGCTTGGTCCAAGTTGGAAGCAGGGACTAGGTTTTGTAGCAGCTCCCACCAATCATGTCTCTCTTCTCAGCAAAAAACCAGGGTTCACCATTTTAGCTGTCTTGTCTCATCTTGCTCACATCCCTGCTAGTCTCTTGTTCCCGGGTGGCCCGCGATCGTGATGAGCGCGGACGATCAGAGAAACTCGGCCAGAATATTTCCAGAGTTACATCTTGTTTTTTTTGTGGTCTCTCTGTTCTGAAAATGCGGCTCTCAACTGTTACAGCTAGTTAGTTAGACACAGGGGTTCAGCCCGATATACTTTACACTAAGAAATAGTGGTGTTTCCCTCCTCTTTTCTCTGACTCTCACTGCAACTAATACACTCAGACTGCTAGCACTAGGCAAAAGGTCAAGCCCCATTTCGAGGTTTCCAAGTTTCATGCATGAAGAGCCTGTCGTCATGTCCCCGCACAAACCAAGCTCTACCAGCCACACATCAACATCAAAGCAGCCCTTTTGGCACGGCGCTGGCATCAGGTCTGCACTCTCCTCTGCCATCTCCATATTCCAGCCTGGAACCTCGAGACCCAGCAGACCCCCAAAACAGGTCCAGGTCCAGGATCAGCAGCTACAGCAGCAGCACCAAGAAAAACTCCAGCCTCACCTCGAGGATCATCAGCCTCAGGAACAAACTGATCCCATCATCCCAATGTCTTCTTCTTCACCCACCCCTGATGGCGATCCTACGCACAGCACTTACGAGGTCAATGTTCCTGTCCGCAATGGACGAACATCTGAACCAAAAGTCTCAAACCCTGAGATTCGCATACCAAGGATAAAGCCAGTATCAGAGAGCACAGACCAGCCAGGTGCACACTCAGATCAACCACAACCACAACCGCAGTCAGCTGAAAAGTTGGCTGCTGGCCTAGACGGCAAATACGTCGATGAGTTTGGCAACATTCTAGACTGGGACGGTACTGTCCTCGGCCGTGTAGAAGGCGATCTCCCGTCCATGGTAGGACGGCCAGTCATGCCGAATGGACAGATCCTCGACGAGGACGGCGAAGTGGCTGGTCACGTCTGCGAGAACTACATCAAGCCTGCTCTCAAGCCACTTGCAGCAGGTGGACTCAAAGTCGATGATGAGGGAAACATCTATGATGACCAGGGCAACAGGATTGGCAAGCTCGACAAGCCGATGCCGTCCCAGGACGGAGCCGACAAACTTTCCGAGAACAAGGACAAGGAGAGGGAACAGGCCCAGGGTGCTGGGAGTACTAACAATGCAAACGCTCCAAAGCCACCGAGTGCTCCAAGGCCTGACGAGCTGTTCCTGGACGTCAAGTCCACCTATGATGGTATCCAGCTCACCATCAAGATTCCTACAGTCTTCAATAGGAACCTTGTAGCTGAGACAAAGAGCAGCGGCAGTCAGACTGAGACACCTGGTAGCGATAATCGATAATCTACTTATTTCTTTTTTCTCTTGGTGCGTTTCACAATTACCCGACCTTCTCCATAAACACCCCCATGCAGAATTGACTACATACACTCATGTAAGGCAAAGTAAGGTAAATGTAAGCCAAGCCAACCAAGGCAAGGCAAGCAAGCATATGCATCCCATTCGTATGAGTGAAAGTGGACAATAAACGCCCCTCCACACCTCGGAATAAGTAAACCTCATGGGGTAACCCCTCCCCGTCACGCTATATTAGTTCATCATTCACTCACTCTTGCTACACATTTGCCATCTCAAAGTTCCAGTTGGACCTCAGAAACCCGGTTGTCTTCTTTTTTTCTGAGGCTACCGGCTACTGCAACACGCAACCCCTTCTTCCAGATCCCCCCTCATTACCTTTAGACAGACCCAGTTTCTCATCTCGATCCATACCCTGAATGTGCAAGCTCCGTCTCGTAGTTGGTGTGCATCCTCCACCCCGCAAGCCTGTTTTCACAACCGCTTGACATTCTCGTCGGGAAGGTAGAGCAGCCTCATCCTGGGCCTGCAAGCCTGGGAGGCACTTACACGGCACCTCTGCGTCTAGAGCTCTCCCCCCCATTGCTCATTGTGTAACATATCCATGTTAGGAGAGCTCCTGATAACGTCATCCAACAGCTCTCGCCACACCCTCCCCGCGCTTAGATCTTCATCATGACGTGTGGCTGTTGCAGCTGTCTCGTCCGATAGCAAGGTGCGGCGCAGTATCATTCATGGCTAGAGAGTAAAAGTTAGGCTCACACTGACGTTGTGACTTTTTGAATTGACGTGATCGAAATCGAGAATGGCCTGGCAGTAAAACTTGTTTTGTATATGCCGTGTGTCGGTATAAGTAGTTGAAGATGTGGTGGTGGTTGCGGTTTCGACAAAAGTATCAATTCGTTCCATTCTTGGCCAACTTGCGAAGCGATACCCAAAACAACAATAACAATAACAATTCCCATTCCCAACTAACACAACGATACCCCATTAATCCTCTCTTATCTGAAAGATACCCTTTTCTCGATCTTGAAGGAGTTGAACCAGTCCAAAACAACCACAACATCATGGCAGACCTCTCCTCCCAGGTTCAAGACACAACAAAAGATACTGCCTCTTCTAAAGAGCAGGAATCCCCTGGTGCGTTCAATAGTCCTTCACCAAGTTTGGCGCTTATCGTCCCCATTGCAGTCAATCTTGAGTCAGTCCCCAGGAGCGGAGCTGGCGTCGTGAATGATGCCGGAGAAGTCCTAGATGACGCCGGCAAGACCGTTGGCAAGATCGCCGACACCGATAACCTCCAGAACCTCGTTGGCAACACCGTCAACCAAGCCGGTGATGTTGTCAGCTCCTCGGGCGATGTCCTCGGCAAGACCCTGCCCATAGGACAAGGCAAGCCTGAGGAGGAAGAGGACTCCCACGACGAGGAGAAGAGCGAATACACAACCCAGTCCAAAGAGAAGAAGTCTGGTGGTCTGGGAAGCGCCCTCGGTAGCGTTACCGGTACCGTTGGAAAGGCTGTTGGGGGAGCCACAGGAGCTGTTGGCGACACAGCGAAGGGTGCCACAGATACCGTCGGCGACACAGCAAAGGGGGCTACAGACACAGTTGGCCTCGGCGACACAGTAAAGGGAGCTACAGACACCGTTGGCGATACAGCAAAGGGTGCCACAGATACTGTTGGCGGCACCGCAGAGGGCGCCACGGACACTGTTGGTGATGCCACTGAGGGCATTGCCAACAAGTCAGAAGCCACCTCCCAAGCTACCGACACAAAGACACCAGCTGAGACACCTGGAGCCCCAGAGGTCAAGGACGAGACACCCGATGTCAAATCCGAGGACCAAGACCAGAAGGACATTAACCTCGAGGACCGCGATGCTCCTGGCGCTGAAGACAAGCTGAAGGAGATCCCCCCAGAGTCCGAGGAGGCTAAGGAGGCAACCGACAAGGCAGAGGAGACTGCTGAGGGTGTTCCTGAACAAGCCAAGGATATCCCTGAGGAGGCCAAGGAGGACGTTACCTCCAAGGTCGACGAGCAAGATGTGCCCAAGCCTGAAGATGTCGAGGAGAAGCTTCAGGAGAAGACTGAGGGTGCCCAAGATGAGGTTCCCAAGTCTGAGGCTGCCGACGAGATCCCGAGTGGTGAAGCCCTTGGTGATGATGGTAACAAGTCCAAGGCTGGTGATGACCTGAAGTCTGTCGCTCCCGGCGAGGAGGCTGCTGGTGTCACCGATGAGGTCCAGGACAAGGCTGCAGAAGGCGAGGAAGCCGCTAAGGATCTTCCTGAGGATGCTCAAAGCAAGGCCGCTGAAGGTGAAGAAGCCGCCGAGGGCAAGCTTGCTGAGGGTGAGGAAGCTGCTGCTGACCTCCCCGAGGATGCCAAGAGCAAGGCTGCTGAGGGTGAAGAGACTGCTGAAGGCAAGGTGGCCGAGGGCGAGGAAGTCGCTGGCGATGCCACCGAGGAGGCTAAGGACAAGGCCGCCGAGGGTGAAGAGGCCGTTGAAGAGAAGGCTGCTGAGGGCGAGGAAGCTGCCAAGGAGCTCGACTTCTCTATCCTCAAGGGCACCACTGTCGACAAGGAAGGTAACCTCGTCAACGAGAAGGGAGACAAGCTCGGCAAGGTTGTCGAAGGAGAGCTCAAGCAGCTCATCGGTCTCAGCAGCGACGACCAAGGCGTCATCTGGGACAAGACTGGCAAGCAGCTCGGAAAGGCTGAGCCTATTCCCGAGTGGGATCGCGAGCAGCTTGACTTCTCCGTTCTCAAGGGTACCACCGTCGACAAGGAGGGTAACCTCGTCAACGACAAGGGCCACCTCATCGGAAAGGTCACTGAAGGCGAGATCAAGCAACTCATTGGCCTCACTGCTGATGAGCAGGGTACCATTTGGGACAAGACCGGCAAGAAGGTCGGAAAGGCCGAGCCTCTTCCTGAGTGGGAGCGTGGTGAGCAGAAAGATTACAGCATCCTAAAGGGCACCACTGTTGACAAGAACGGAAACCTCGTCAACGAGAAAGGTCACCTCTTCGGTAAGGTCGTTGAGGGCGAGATCAAGCAGCTCATCGGCTTGGCTTCTGATGACCAGGGTACCATCTGGGACAAGACTGGTAAGGCCGTTGGTAAGGCTGAGCCTCTTCCCGAATGGGAGCGTGGTGAGCAGAAGGACTACTCCATCCTCAAGGGAGCTGTTGTCGACAAGGAGGGTGGCCTCACTAATGACAAGGGAGACACCATCGGCAAGGTCACTGAGGGTGAAGTTCGACAGCTTGTTGGTCTCAAGTCTGACGAGAACGGCAAGATCTGGAGAGACGGCAAGGTTGTCGGCCAGGCTGAGCCACTCGCTGAGTGGGACCGCGTCCAGAAGAAGGATCGTTCCATCCTCAAGGGCGCCAAGGTCAACAAGGTCGGCAAGCTCGTCGACGCCAACGGTACTGTCGTCGGCAAGGTTGTTGAGGGCGAACTGAAGGAACTCGTTGGCAAGCGCGCCGATGAGAACGGTGACATCTGGAACGACTCCGGCGAGGTCATTGGCAAGGGTGAGCCTGTTTCCATCTCCGAGCGTGAGGACAAGGCCTCCGCTCCCTTCGAGCACTTCCCTGGCGCCACCGTCGAGTCTGATGGCCGTGTCATGTACCAGGGTGAGCAGGTTGGTGAGGTCATCGAGGGTGACCCCAAGCAGCTCAAGGGCAGCGAGGTCGATGAGGATGGTGACATTCTCGACCGCCGTGGCAACACTGTCGGTAAGGCCAAGCGCTGGGAGGCTCCTGAGGCTGAGGAGGAGAAGCCCGTCGACAACTCTGCTCTTGCTGGTAAGCGCGTCAACAAGGCCGGTAACCTCGTCAGCGAGTCTGGCGAGATCTACGGCCGTGTCATTGAGGGTGATGTCCAGAAGCTTGTTGGGCGCATGTCTGACAAGGATGGAAACATCCGAAGTGAGTCTGGCGACATCATTGGCAAGGCCCAGCTCGTCTCTGAGGGTGAGCGTGGTGGTAAGAAGGAGGGTCCCTTCGCTCAGCTCAAGAACTGCACCGTCGGCAAGGATGGTAAGGTCGTCAACGGAGCTGGCGAGGTTGTTGGCAAGCTTGTCATTGGTGATGCCAAGGCTCTTGCTGGACGTGCTGTTGATGATGACGGTGAGATCACCGACTCCAACGGAAATGTCATCGGCAAGGCTGAGCGCTGGGAGGAGCCTGAGAAGGAGCAGAAGCACAACCCTCTCGCCGGCCGAAAGGTGAACCGCGAGGGTAACGTCGTTGACGCTGATGGCAACATCATCGGCAAGCTTACTAGCGGTGAGCTCCTCGACTGCGCTGGCAAGGAGATCGACGAGGATGGTGATGTCTTCAACCAGAAGGGATCTGTTATCGGTCACGTCTCTCTTCTCGAGGACATCCCCAAGGAGGAGGAGCCTGAGCCCGAGGGTGAGACTGAGGAGGAGAGACTCAAGCGCGAGCAGGCTGAGGCCGATGAGGCCAAGCAGACTGAGGAGGCTGAGAAGAACAAAAAGCTCGCTCAACAACTGGCTTACCAGATTGAGCAGACTCTTGAGAGGCTCCGACCCATCTGCAAGTCCATCAACGACAAGATCAGCGCCGCTGAGGCTCAGAAGCCTGAGGATCGTGATGAGGAGGAACTTGTCCGACAGGTCAAGCCTCTCATCGAGGATGGTGGTAAGATCTTGACTGAGACCAACGGTATCATCCGTGGTCTTGATCCTGATGGTCGTATCGCTCGCAACGCCAAGCAGAAGACTGCTGGTGGTGAAGCTACTCCCGAGGAGGCCCACCTCGCCAACTTGCTCAAGGAGGTTAGTATCGCGTTCCCTTCCCCTAAAACATTTGCTAACAAGATGACAGCTCTCAACTGAGATTCAAACCACCATTGAGGAGGGCAAGCGCAAGCTCGAGGGTATGCCTCACGCTAAGAAGGAGATCAACCCTCTCTGGGGTCTCCTCGCCGAGCCTCTCTTCCAGATTGTCGCTGCTGTTGGTCTATTGCTCAGCGGTGTGCTCGGCCTTGTTGGCAAGCTTCTCGGTCCCATCCTGGGTCCTCTGGTATGTCTCAACCATTCATCTTCACAATCAATTGATCATTTTCCTAACAATATCTTCAGCTCAACGGTCTTGGTCTTGGTGGTCTGCTCGATGGTCTTCTCGGAGGTCTTGGCCTCAAGAAGATCCTCGGCAGCCTTGGTCTCGGTGATGTCGTCGGCACAGTCACCGGCAAGAAATAAACAAGTTTTAATGATTGGATAATGGGCATTTCTTAAGGAATCATATCTTGGGATTTTGGGAATGGAATTTGTATGAATAGTTCGGAGTTTTGTCTTGTTTAGTTTTACGAATTTCACGATTTAGTTGGCCAATAATGCTGTGCATTGACATGGAGTTAAAGTCCCGAGTGCTCAATTGAAGCTAGCTCGATTACAGACTAGCACCAAAGCCGATGAGTCAGCACGAAATCTGCACTACAAATTTCTGACTTTTTTTCTCCTCCAGCTCCCTCAACCATCAACAATCACCATGCCCAGCTTGCTTCTGGCGTGGCCTTCCTGAACGATGCAACGATGCGTCTCTTCCTCATACGCCATGGAGAGACAGTCGACAACGTCGCAAACCTCTATGCCGGGTCTCGCGACTCAGCCTTGACTGCCCATGGTGTCATGCAAGCTCAACGGCTAGCATCTCACCTCTCTGAGCACGTCGCCATTGATCACATCTTCTCGTCGAACCTCAGCCGCGCGGTGCATACCGCCCAGGCTATCCTCGATGCGCAGAAACGCGCGGAGGATCTGAAATTGATTCAGGTGCCGGAGCTGAGGGAGAAGGACTTTGGGACGGGCGAGGGCACCAAGTTTGGGGCCGCGACGAAGCATGAGGGTTCTGAGACATCGCTGGCGATGAGGAAGAGGGTTGATGTTTTCTTGGACGAGCATTTGCCTCGACTGGATGAAGACTCGACCGTCTGCATCGTCGCTCACGGTATCATTCTCGGTACTTTCTACAAAGCACTCCGCGACAGAACCTCTTCGTCAGCTGGTCCAGATGCCGAACCGGAAGGTCAAGCATCTGCTTTCGTGCGCTCCTCATGGAGCAACACCGGCTACATCGAGGCTCTCATCACGCGCAACTCTTCCGACGAGCATCTCCACATGCGCGTCCTGAAGATCAACAGCGTCGACCACCTCAAAGGTCTGAGAAAGACCCGAGGCGGAATTGGCAGCGCCAAGTTCGACGCGAAACAAAAGACGATGGACTCATTCTTCAAGCCGGCATCGCGAAAGCGCAAGCTCGAAGATGAGGACATCGTATCTCGCTAAATGGTATGTTCAGAATTTTCCTTTTTTTACTCACACCAAACACCCAAGCTTTATGATGAAGAAGCAATTACACAGACCTGTACTGAAATACACAATGTGGAAACAATTTTGTCCAACCGCTGTCTGACAGCTTGTTCACAATTCGTCTTTGTTGTCATTTTCTATGGTAACACTAGCTAACGATGAACTCATAGGTCTCATTAGAACTGCATCGTGTCATAATCGATGGTCTTCATAGAATCATTACATATAATACACACTAATCTAAACATCCGTGCTTGTCTCGTCCACTCCTGTGAAAACTTTGTACATGCGTCGACTTACTGCTTGGCCAACCATGCGATCTGAGAAAGCACCATCTTTGTTCGCGCTCTTCTTAACGCCTTCGAGAAGAGTTGGCCCACGCTCTTCCAAACTTCGAACGAGATTGCTGACGGTGCCAAATTCCGCCGCGATTCCATATGCGATGGGGGCCGTGACTCTGACAATCTCTTGCAGCATTCGGACGTAGGTGTCTCTGGTGTCCTCGCCTGTCTTGACCTGTCCGCTTTCCATGCAGAACCCTGCCCCAAGCGTCGCAATATCTCTTTGTTTTCGATATGGTATTGTCGAGATGTGTTGAGTGAATGTCAAGATCTGCTCGGCTGTTTCCATCGGTATCATAGTGTGATGGATCAAAGCCTCATGCATCACCTGCAATTGCAGCAGCGCATCTTCAATCAACTCTTCAGATACGTATTCCGGAGGGGGGTTATTTCGTCGACGACCTGCAGTAGAAGCAGCAGCTTCCTGAGCGCGAACGTTCGATGTAAATTGACGATTACGAAGGTTTCTGTTCTTGCGCATCCAAGGTGTGAGACCCTCAATCAAGTAGACGAGAGAATGGTCAGCAAAATGTCTTTGCATCTTGCCAACGTGAGTTGAGATCTGGTCGTCCTGCGCCAGCTTCACAAACTCATCGGTATGCATCACAACGAGAGCATGTTTCTCTTCTTCAAGGCGAAGAGGCATTGGCTCCCAGAGGCCAATCTCGTCGTTGTATCGACTGCGAACCTTTCTTCGCCATTTGATCACATTGTCGACCGGGCTATCCCAAGTTGTGTACTGCACATCAAAGGGTTCTAGCATGGTCTGAAGCTCGGTTGTGACCGTGGCATTCAAACTCGAAGGAATATCAACCATCATTTCTGGCGTTGAAACTTTCTTATCTGTACGTAGCTTGTTGACCTCTGCCAAAGCAGCAGTGCGCTCCTTTTCACGAAGTTTGGCTTCCTTTGCCTCCTGCTTCTCACGCCGCTTAGCCTCTTTTTCGACTTCTTTGGCTGCTGCCTTTGCTTCTTTTTCTCGTGCTCGCTCTGCTGCTGACTTTGTATTCGAAGCTACGGGCTTTGTTCGAGATCTCGATGATACAACATCACTTTGTGAGCGCTGAAGTTGTGATCGGCGGCGCATCTTGGCAACATCGAATGAAGCGATATCTGGCAATTCGTCCTCGGAACCGTCCCCGCCATCGGAGTCGTCAATGTTAATAACGTTATTGTTCTTCCGTGGCGGCGATGAATCGAAAGAGAACATGTCTGGCGCCGAACTAGAGATGGGATCCCATGTAGCATTCTTCTTTGGGGCTGGCTTTGGTGCAGGTTTTGGGGGAGGCGCAGGCGGTGATGTTATGATAGCCTCGGGCGCCTTAGTCGTTACCGGCACTTGATGGGGCGAACTCGCGAAAGGGTCGGAAGATTCTATAGGTCTTGCGAGGGGCTTCGGTTTCGGGGGGGATCGTCGCACCGGTTGTGGTGAACTTGCGAAAGGATCAGAGTCTTCAGGGTCAAGCGATTGATTCGTGGGCTTGCTGATGGTATCAGTTGAGGGTTTGCCGGTATACATCGAAGGCTCTAACTGGCCATGTGATTCAAATATCGGAGAACTCGTAAGTTCTATAGGGTCAGAAGCGACAGAAGCTCGTGCATTCCCATTCGTTCGCACGGGCGGGAGAATTGTTTGAGGTTCCGGAGCTGGAGAAAGGCGCTTGAGAGGCGGTGGTTGCGCTAGAGGAGAAAGACATCGTCTCTTGTTCGGATTTACATCGACCAATATTGGCTCGTCAAGATCTATCGTTGTGTCGAAATCGTCGGAGAGAAACAGTCCTGGCGATGCAGAATGTGCTGCGTTGATGCTTGACAGATGTCGCTTCTCTGGTTCAAGGATGCGATTGGTTTCGGGTACTTGCGCAGAGGGTGGGACAGACTGGCTTGGCGGCGGGCTCGATGAGATGAGATCAATCACATCGGGTGCCATTTTGGTTGCGATATTTGGACGACTACCATTGATGATCGTTAATTTGAAGTTGAGGCTCTAAGGTCAATGGCGGGGCGCGCTGTGACGCGACGACCTTGGTACTGATGGCACACGAAAAACGCCAAAGTCACGTGTCGTTGTTAAGAGCTTGCAACTTAGCAATACCAAGTGAATATGAGATGAGATACAATAAAGTCGTGTTACGCATGGCTTCATGCAATTCCAGTAAGTAGTAGCCATTGGGATCAGTGTAGTTGTTTGTGCTGCTTGACATCACAGACCTCGGCTGTCTGTACCTAGAGTAGCCTACCTATAACTCTCGCGAGACTGGACAAGAAACTATTCGTCTTGCTACCTTACCTCATACACTTTCTCGTCACAGTTTTGCAGTCATCATGTGAATTTCAAGCGGATTGCTTCCGTATCAGGTATTATGCTTTCTTGATGAAACTGATCAGAAGATTAGGACGATACCAAGTTCATGCCTTTTCTCGGATTAACATAACATCTACGGAGCAAAGTATCGACGATAGTCACCACTGATTTCCAGGTTTACGTCCCATCTAACTATCAGCTCTCCAGTTATAATTGGGACCTTCCTCAAGTGGTTACAAAGTTCTATCGGCATGTGCTACAGGCGCCTCGGGATGCAAGAAAACTTAGACTTAGATATAGGGTATTAAAAATAAACTTCGTAAAAGATATCCTAAATCTACTAATATTACTTTAAATTTATCCTAAGGTTGCTAAGTCTTTTTGTTATTTAGGATCAGGGTCATGAGTAGGTAGGTTTTCTTTCCTCCCCTAAAGGTTGTCCTCGCAAACCACGATCACTTGAGGCACGAAGGAGAAAAGAGGAAACCTCAAAGGAGGCGTCATCTCGTATTTGCCCCCAGGAGAATATAACATATTCTTTAGCATAATGACAAGACTTGGTCGAAAATGTATTAACACCGTCAATTATAGCCTGATATATAGACTCTCCTCCGAAGCGAAGTCCGATTGATGACGATCTCAACTGCGAGGATTGAAGCTTATGTCCAAGTCAGGATCCCGTGCTATATCACGACCTTTTATTGGCGATACATCATATCTGTACTGACTCGTCTCTCATTCTCCAACTACCTACTCGCCATGATGCAAGCTTCAACCCTCAGTGCCGTTCCTCGACAGGGGAAACTGTTTAGCGAACACAACATGCGTCAGTAACCCAAGCTGTGCAACGTCACATCGTGACGTCGTAAAGACTCAATGAGGAGACACGACATCTTGGCGTTTGCCAAAAGGATGTCGAAGTAAGAGCCAGTATCTATAATTCATGGCATATGGACGGCTCAGGGTAGGGACAGGGATGAATATAGAGATATCCCATCCTGCAAAGGAACAGTAGCATTGCGATAACAAAAGTTTCATGTTTAATCACAAGGCCCTGTGAATAGTTGCAGTCTCTCCATCAACATGGACTATTATCAAGGTATATAGTCCATATAACAGTGTTTGGAGCTATATCGTGGTGGTCAGCAGTGTGTTTGGTAGATCCAACTAGCGAAGTGGAGGTATAAGGTAGACTAGTATGTGAACACAATCCATATCTTATATCCGTTACCATGGTGTCTGTCCACTCTAAGAGTTCATACTTGACTCGTTTTCTCGTGGGGACATTTTCTCAGTGGCACTGACTGTCTTGTTGTGTTGATAGTGGATAAGCCGACCATTGACAGCTACTGTGACAACCAATATCCCTGGCAATTTTATGTTTGTACTGTAAGTGGGCGTTGAAGCCTCAAGCGAGAACGAGATTCTTAAGGCTGACGAATAAGACAGGCTCCGCCGCCGAGGTCTCCGGTAGTCCATGCTGGCAAAATGCATGCATTCCACTGACGAAGTGGCTTTTCTTTGGTGAGACGAACTGTCTCAGACAACCAGACATGCTGTGCCTGACTTGTTGATGTAACAACGGCCTTGCCAGGCAGACAAGAGAGTCTAACAAGGACCAACAGTTCACAAGCTTCGATAACTCACCGTTGGACACTTGTCAGGTCATGTAAGATTGTTCAAAAGAAGAAATGATAGTAACAGGTTCAAAGTATCAAGGTTTCATTGGGATCAGGAGTGGGGGCTTGGACCTGAAACATACCGTAGGCGTGGTGTGTTTGACCCCCGCGATTTGCTTCCGCAGTTGAATGCGACTCAAAACGCGGACACAAACCATGCCGGTCACAGTAACTGTTTCCACATTTTGCTTCTCACGTCGCGAAATGATGCCATTCAATACTCCGTTACTGATGGACCAAGAGAAGAGACCTGGGTTCGCTTCAAATGGGGCGCCATGTGAGCACCAGGCTAGGCTCAGCGGGACATGGGTAAAGGGCTGAAGAGAAAGTCTCAGGTTATTATATTTCAATCTGCCCGATTATTTAGGGGACGATCGTCTGAGACCCTGGATCTTACTGTAACAGGAGATGGGACGAAAGTTAAAGGAGATGGATGGGCGATGGGCTAGTTAGTTATCGGAGGGATCTTGATAGTTGTCTCGGGCGCCAAAAGCAACGAAACTGTTAGACGGGATGGTGTGCATGGGGCGGTTGCTGGTGCATTCCGTGTAGCATTGTCTGCAGAGTGATACGAGACGCGTCGATGTTCGTGATAATTATCTAACAAGGTACTTGCATATGTATTTTGCTGCGTGACCGCCATAACCGCAAGGGGGGGTAAGTTCTGATATGGGGTCAAGTTGACAACACATCAAGAGGGGACGCTGAAAACTCTGTCGACGACACAGGACATTGAATTAACCATTGAGTCAGTGTCTAACGGTATTCTTCTCTTCTTCTATGGAAACTTGCTTGGCGTGAAACCGGTATATCGGTTACCGTCCTTGCATTGGTTTGATGACATCTAGCCATGCCCATTAACAAACGCGACGATGTGCCGCTAAGTTAGTTTGGACATGTCGGATATTAGATTCAGCCCCTGAGCAGAAAGAACAGAAAAGATCGCCTCGGGCAGAAGAGGCATTTGAATTGGTCCGAGAGACTAATCAATGTGGTTGGTTTGGGATGACTTTGTTGCTTGCAAAGACGATCTTAAATCAGGCCTGCTTAAGCAGTTTAACCCTCAACATCCACGAGGATTCGTTGCCTGTTGCTCGGGTCGAGCTGGGATCGGCCAAGTACACAGTAGTGCGAGAACAAATGGAGTCTCTTTAGGAATACTGCTTATGAATCAGGATACGGATATCACCTTTTAAAGAAATGAGAACTGACTCTCACAGCTTAATTGGTCTCGTAAAGTTCCAATAAGTCTATTCCATCACTATCACCAAATATTATTCAGATTATGGCACTGATGCTAAGGGTCCAAGCAGACAAACCATTTGGAGGGTTCATGCCACTAAGGTACTGGCCTTGGGCCTGGTTGCGCGGACAAGGTTACCAGCGCCGGGGGAGGGATCCAGTTAAAATGAAGCTGTCCAACCAGTAGGCGCCCTCTCCACCATCTGCTAACCTAAAGAGCCACTAGCCCTCCCCTAGGATTCAGGGGTCAGGCAATCACGTCCATCAGACGCGAGGTACCTGACAACGTTGCCCGAGCCGGCCCAGCGCTAATGTACCTCTAGCCCCCCAGGGGCGGACTTGACAGCTCTCCATCCCGCTGAGTGTGTGTTGGCTGGCACTGGCACAATCCCCTAAATGAATTGAAGGAAGCTGGAAGACACTCTAGAGCCTACCTACCTACTGAGGTGTCCAGTTTACCCCTGGTGGGCTTGATTCCACTTTGAGGCTGTCCTGTCCCGTCCCTTTTTTTCCTGTTGCTTTTTCTACTCCTGAACTGAAAAAGTGATCAAACAGCCAACGGCCCGCCCATTGAAGTAGGTTATTTCTTCTGCCTCTGCCTGCATCATCTACAACCTCGTCTCCCACCGCTTTCTTCTCTCTTCCCTTCTCCTCCGCTCTTTTCTTTCACTTTTTTACCAATTCCACCCCGATAAAAGCCCCTCCGCTAGTGACTTACGTCTCGCTCCACAACTGGATTGAGGAATTGCCAGCCCAGACCTAGACCCAGCCCTCGACAACTCCGTCGCCCGATCGTCCGCGGTCGCTTGTTTAATTACATTTTCCCCCTACACCCCTGGTCTGAATAAACAATCGAACATCCGCCTCGCGCTCACTCGTTGAAACTTCTACGAGTCCCCCAAAGGTCAACCGCCGCACGTGAGACCGTCTGGAACACTTCGTGATCCCCTCACCAACCGACGACTCTCGTGGCGCTGCAATCATCTATGACGTTCTGAAAGACCACCTCTTCTCCCTCCGAGGAAGACAATATACAAAGAAGCCCTTTGAGGCCTTGACAGCTTTTGCGACATCCATCGCCGTTGACGATTACGATAACTGAGACACCGCGCATTTCTTTCGCAACTTAGCCATGGCGACCTCGCCCCCGGCCTCGCCGGGAGGAATCCCTCAAAGGCCCATGAGCGCCATCGCAAGAGCCCATCCTAGAAGCAGCAGCAGGTTGAGCATGACGAGCAAGGCTGGAGGCGGGAGCAGAGCCTCAGACGACGAAAGTCGGACGGCGGTCAAAGTCGGTAAGTCGACCGTGGCCACCAAACTTTTGGGATATTGATGCTTATTCGTTGTCAGCCGTTCGAGTACGACCGCCGTTGAACCCTAACGATCCTGGATACGATCTGATTCCGCAGCGATTTCAACGAGCTATGGTCCAAACGACCTCCGATACCAGCCTGGCAATCGATTCTCCACAAGGCCGCAAACTGTTTGTTTTCGACCGAGTCTTTAGCTCTGATACACAACAGGAGGGTGTGTGGGATTATGTGTCGGACTGCATTGGTGCTTTCACTCAAGGCTACAATGTATCCTTGATGGCATATGGCCAGTCTGGTGCTGGAAAATCATACACCATGGGTACTTCAGGCCCAGGTGAACAATATGACCAAGAACTGATGGGTGCGTTGAAGCGAACAAGCGGCGACTGCGCTTGCTAACCAGTGCTCAGGTGTTATTCCTAGAGCTGCCATGGCGCTCTTTGAAAAGCTCGATACTCCCGAGACCCCAAAGTCCAAAGCCAAAGCGAATCGCAGTTCTCTTTCCCATCTCAAAGGCCCAAGGGGATTTAGCCAGCAGAATACGCTTGGTGACCGCGAGTGGTCGCTGAAGGCTACATATGTCGAGATTTACAACGAACAGCTTCGCGATCTCCTCGTCCCTGAAACGACACCGTTGAACGAGCGCGGCAATGTGGCCATTCGCGAAGACACAAAGGGAAACATCATCTTGACAGGCCTTCGACAAGTCGACATCAACTCGGTGGACGACCTCATGAATGCTCTGAACTTCGGCTCCTCTATTCGCCAGACCGATGCCACGGCTATCAACGCCAAGTCGTCGCGATCCCATGCGGTTTTCTCACTTAACCTTGTTCAGCGCAAGAATAAGTCGTCAGGCCAGGGCGCCGAGAAGCGCTTCTCCGTACCACTCGAAGCGATGACGGGCCAGGATGTTACTGTGACAACCGACAGCAAACTTCACTTTGTGGATTTAGCTGGAAGTGAAAGACTGAAGAACACTGGAGCTCAGGGCGATCGAGCAAAGGAGGGTATCTCTATCAATGCCGGTCTTGCCGCCCTCGGTAAAGTTATCAGCCAGCTTTCGTCAAGAAACCCTGGCTCCCACGTCTCGTACCGCGACTCTCGACTTACCCGACTGCTACAAGATTCGCTCGGTGGTAATGCCATCACTTATGTGATTGCCTGTGTTACACCGGCCGAATTCCACTTGAGCGAGACCCTGAATACCGTCCAGTATGCCCAACGAGCTCGAGCCATTCAATCGAAACCACGCATTCAGCAGATCGAAGAGGGCGACAAGTCAGCTGTGATTGACCGCCTCAAGGCTGAGGTTGCCTTCCTCCGTGAACAAATTCGCAGTGCCGAACATGGCGGCAACAGCCCTCGACGTAACGCGCAAGGAATTACTGATCGATCTGATCGTCAAAACGAGCGCGAGACTGAGCTCCAGAACCAACTACTGGACACTCAAGAGAGCTATACCGCCTTGAGCCAACGCCATGCTCGACTGATTGCTGAGTTGGCGCGCGCTCGTGAAAATGAATCTGGAGCGGACCACCATGAGGAGTCAGGCGATACAGCAGATGACCGCCTCAACCGTTCGAATTCGTTCGCGCAAGCCGTTGAGCAAGTTGTTATGGAATACGAGAAAACCATTCAGTCTCTCGAGCAGTCTCTCTCTTCTACTCGCGGCACTCTCTCTAATACCGAGGCTAACCTTCTCGAGAAGGAGACGAAATGCGCTTACGTGGAGACTATCAACTCCCAGCTCCAGAGCCGTCTCCAGAAGCTCATGGACCGAGAGAATAACACTGAGAGTTACCTCCACGATCTTGAGGCCAAGTTGGATGGACATACCAACGGCGAAGAGAAGAACGCCACGATCATCATGGAACTTCGTAAGGAGATTGCCCGTGTTCGAGAGAATGAAGCGTCATGTGAAGACTATATCTCGACCCTTGAAGAGCGTCTTGCTGAGGCGGATCAAGATACCGAGTTGATGCAACGCGAAATTGACAGACTTGAGCAAGTTGTTGAACGACAAAGAAGTCTCGGTAAGCTTGACTCGCTTCTCCACGAGCTCGACCAAATCCAAGATGGCAAGGAGCCCGGGACCGAGAACGGAACCGACCAGAATGCTGAGCAAACCAACGGTGTTGCGGCTCGTCGTGCTATGGCTGAACACTCTCGAAACCTTTCCCACGTTAGTCGCCATAGCCAAATGGAGGACCCAATTCCTGAAGGTGACGAGGAAGATCATCCCCACACCAAGATTGGCCCTGTCAAGGAAGTGGATGAGGACCTTCTGCGTCTTGAGAAGCCAAGCGAAGAGGGCCCTCCTCAAAGCCCAGCTCAATCCAAGTTTGTTGCTGACAAGCTTGAGAACGTTACCCAAGAGCTTATTGACTTGCGCGTGGAGCACGAGTCGACTCTTCATGACTACGACTCTCTCCACGCCAAGTACGAGGATGCTATGCGTAAGATTGCTGAGATGCAGGATGTTGTTGATGAGGCCCGCCATGTCAACCCCAAGCGCGAGTCGGTTATTTCTGTGGCCACACCAACCCATACCCGCCCCGAGTCTTTCCTTTCGTACTCTAGAACAAATGATCTGAAGGCTGGGCCGAGGTCATCCTTTACACGATCGCTCTCTTCCGAATTATCCTCAGCCATGGATTCTCCTGCCACTGCCGCTTCATCGAACGGTGACATCTTGTCTGATGATGAAACTGCTACCACGAAGCCTGCAGCCGTATCGACCGAGAATTTGCCTCAGGACGACAACGTTGAGATCGCTGCTGAGCTCCAAAGACTGAAGTCGATGGCCCAGGAACGCGAAGCTGCTGAAAGAGAATTGGCCGAGAGATATGCCCAGCTCGAGTTCAAGCATAACGAGACCCTCGATATTGTTGAGGAGCTCAAGACTGACCTATCTCGCGCCCGTGTTATGGAAGCTACATCACCTCGTTCCAGCACTCCTGTCATTCGACGCAAGTCAAGTCAGAACCTACTCGTTGTCGACCGTGCCCAGCGCTCATTTTCATCACTCCGTAACATTGTCTCTGAGCATTTTGGTGATCAGCCCGAGGCCATGCAGAGCTTCGAGCTGAACTTGAATGCCGCTATCCACGAACTGCACGTCAGGAGCGAACGCATTCAGGAACTAGAAGCAGACGTCGCAGCAGCGAAGAAGGAGATGGAGACCAAGATGACTATTATCTCGGGATTGACGAGAGAGCGATCCAGTCTCAAGGCCAGCCCTGTAGAGATGTCCATGGTGGCAACACTACGAGACCAGCTTGAGCAGAACGAAAGACAGCTTTCTGATACAAGGAACGCCCACATGGCTCGTGAGCAAGCACTCACAACTGAGCTTGAGTCTCTGCGACAAGCACTTGCTGCCAAGTCTAGTCTCCAGGAGCCCGACAATGCTGACTCCAAGCACGAGCAGCGTGTTGCCGAGCTCCAGACCGAGCTTGCCACATGGGAGCAGAAGCACAAGGAGGCCCTTGACTCCATGGCGACGACAGAAACCCAAATGCGGGGTACGATTGAGGAGCTTGAGGCTCGAGTTGTATCCAACCATGCTCAAATCTCCGCAGCTCGATCCCAGAATGGCGATAAGGATGAGCCAAACAGCGAAGCTGAGCAGCGACAACAGAACCTCATCAGCTTCCTTCGCAACGAGATTGACGAGTACAAGGCGATCATCAACAGCAACGCTACCAAGGTTGCTGAACTTGAGCAGGCTCATGCTGCTGCTCGCGCCGAGTTGGATGAGCTCCACAAGACTCACAACGCTTTACAGGAGGACAACTCCCGTCAGCTAGAGCTTATTGCCAAGCTTCAGGAGCAGATCGCGACCCATGATGAGGGTGCAAAGAGTAACGAGACATCGCTCGAGGAGCTCAAGGCTGAGCACGCTAAGGCCCTGGCTGATCTTAAGACGACCGAGCAGAAGGGCTACGAAGAGCAAGTTGAAGTATTGTTGTCTGAACATGCTGAGAGCGCTCACAGACTGGAGACTGAGCTTGCAGAGGTTCGCGATGAGCTCAACAAGGCAGCTTCTCATGCCGCCATGGCTCTTGGTCTCGACGCCGATGCTGAGAAGTTATTGGAGCGTATCGATGAGCTTGCTGCCAGCAAGAAGGCTCTTGACTCGGAGCAGGCCAAGCGGGCCGAGATTGAGTCACATGTTAACGAGCTCACATCTATTAATGAGAAGATCATGAAGGATCTTGAAGATGCCAAGGTTGCTTTGGCTGAGATGCTTGATGGAGGTGCTGGTTCTGGTCCTCTGGTTGAACAGATCAAGATCGCCAAGAAGAGGATGACAGATCTCGATGACCGAAGCAAGAAGAACAGCAGACTTGTGGAGGAGCTTGAGGAGCAGCTCCAGAATAACTTTGACGAGGTTCAAATCACCAATAACCGGTTGAGCACCCTGCAGACTGAGCGCAACAGTCAATTGGTCGAGGCCAATGCCGCTACTGCACGCCTCACTGCTGAATTGCAAGTCTTGAAGGAAGATTATGCAGCTCTCCAGGTAAGCTTGTCTCTGCATGATAATTTGTGGACTTGACTAACACTTGGCAGGCTAAGATGGACGAGGTGGCGGCTGGCGTCCAGCGGTCAAACTCTAACTCAACCATTCGCAAGAGCGCATCTCACGTCTCTCTGCCATCACCCCCACCAGCTATCCCTCTCCCCCCTCTACCAAACGGTGCGGGATCTCCCGTCAATGGAGCTCCCAGCTCACCTACCAATGGACGTCCCATCAGCAAGGACAACATCAACATCTCTCATATCACTGAAGACCAGGAAGCGCGTATCCGAACCATCGAGAAGCACCTTAATGCGGAGCGTCAGCTTACCCAGACACTCGAGGAGGCTCTTACCGACCTGGAAAGGCAATCTAATAAAGTTAAGGCCGATTGTGATGCCTGGAAGAAGCGTGCGAGTGAGCTAGAGGTCGAGGTCAAGGAGCTCAAGGACCGTCCTCCCCCCGAGCCTGTTCAGGACAACAGATGGAGTCTCCAAGCTGTGGAGGAGGAGCGCAAGAAGCGACAGGCAGCTGAGGCCGCGCGCCGCCAGCTCGAGGAGCGTATGAATGCCATCAACAAGGGCAAGAAGAAGAAGGGAAGCTTGAACTGCTTCTAGAGGAGGCGAAGCTGTGACTAGCCGACTTATTATGAGCGGCCCGTTCCGGAGTCTTTGATCACGGGACACACATTCAGCATTGGGGGGTTGATTGGGATGGGATTCTTTTTGCAACGCCTTTATGTGTCATCATGTTTCTGATTTGATGTTGTTCACCATATTCCCCCTCGAGTTTTATTGTCGGTCTGGCGATCTTTTTTTTCTCGTCGGGCATCCCAACCAAGTTTTCAAGCACTGGCCAGGAGTTTGGAGGATTCTTTTTTTGCTTTTTCGTTTTTTTTCTACCCTGTGAAGAAAGGGGGGATTTATCACATACACGAGCGGCTCGATGCATAAAGATGTCATTTTGGGTGTCTGTCTTTATACATGCGTAATTTTTCTTCTCTTCAATTTGACTCCCTTCGATTTAAAGGGGGAGAGTTTTGGGTGGCGGACTTTGATTCAAGGAATGAAGCGGAAGATGGGATGATTCTTATGAGGGGGAACCCATTGATTTGGGTTCCCATTACAAGTTACATATAGGGATAACAAAAAACGTGGATGTTTTTTGTTTCCGAAAGACGATAGTGGTAAATACTAGTTTCAAAGACCTTAAAATCATTCGCCTTGATCGTTTTCTTCTGAGGGGAGTAGGTCTGGGAACCAGCCGTATTGGGAGAAGTCTACGGAGTGTTCACCCATTGCGTTTGTCTCGACTTGTACGCCTTCTGCTTGGAGGGCATCAGCTTGTGAGCGAGATCCCCCAGGTTGAGATCTAGAGAGTCAGATCTGATGTGCATGTGAGGGATTGATGGACGAACCTGGGTGATATTTGGCCTTTGGAGTTTATGACTCTTTGCCATGGGACGTTGTCGTGGTTGAAGGGCTGAGAAAGATCGGCGGGGAGGTGTTTTAGACAGACGCCGACTTGACGAGGTCTTTGAGCTGTAGGATGTTAGGGACTTCAGGTTTTGGGTGTGTGAGGGAGGGTTGTGCACGGGTTCCAACGAGCATGGCGATGTGGCCGTATGTAGTGACTTTGCCATGGGGGATCTCTTGGACGGCTGAGTATACGGCGTGGAAGAAGGCTTGCGCTTCGTCTGAGCGGGGCATTATGATGGTGTATGAGACATGAGCAGTTGATTTGAGTATTTACAATGAAGAATAAGAATCAATTGGACTAACTGAGGCTGTTGTAGTTCAGTGAGTGAAGTGCCGATTCATGGTGCTGAAGGGCGTGATGTAAATAGCGGGGTATGCCACTATCCGGTCAATCCCCAAAGTTCAGTAAGATTCTTGTTCAAGATTATTCTATTGTTGATTCATATCTCAAGGTATGTACAGTCTATCTCTATCATTCCCATCCCGCTAGTTTAATCAATGTTCTTCTGGTTAACCAAAACATATCGGTATCGCGCCTTGCCATTCTCCATATCAACAACAGCCTGGTTCGCATCCTCCATCGGCCTCTTCTCAACCCAAGGCTTGACGTTCTTCTCAACAGCAAGCTGCAGCATCTCCTCGATATCCTTAGGCGATCCAATCAAGCTTCCGCTCAGCTTGAACTGGCCCATGATGAGGTTGAATGCATTGATGGGGGGAAGTTCACCAGAGTCAGGAGCTCCGACCTGCACAAAGTCGGCGCCGTGGCGCAGAAGCTTGAAGTAGTCGCTGTAGGGCATCTTGCTGCTTGAAACAGTGCAAACCATGAGATCAATTGTCTTGGCGTTCTTGTTGGCCCAGTCCTCATCGTCGTCAGTAGCGATGTAAGCGTCTGCGCCGAGAGCGAGGACTTCTTCCTTCTTGGAGGCCTTGCGAGAAATGCCAATGACCTTATCAGCGCCGAGAGCCTTGGCGAAGAGAACGCCAAAGTGGCCCAGACCGCCTACACCGACGATACCAACGGTCTTTCCAGGACCGCAGCCGTTGTTACGGAGGGGAGCGTAGACGGTGACACCGCCGCAGAGCATGGGCGCAGCGTACTCCGAGGGGAGGCTCTCGGGGATCTTGACGACGAAGCGGGAGTCGGTGCGGTTGTAGTCTGCGTATCCGCCGTAGGACTTTCCGATGTCGTCGGGGTAGACGGAGCCGTAGGTGCTGACCATCTTAGGGCAGTAGTTGAGGCGGCCGGCGGAGCACTCGGAGCAGTCGTCGCGGAGACAGCTGCGGGCCTGGGCGCCTACACCGACTCTGTCGCCAACCTTGATGTCAGTGACGTTGGAGCCGACGCGGACAGCCTTGCCGACGATTTCGTGGCCGACGCAGCAGGGGAAAGGAGTCTCGCCCCAGCCGGAGCGAAGAATGTGAAGGTCAGAGCCGCAGATACCGCAGTGTGTGATCTTGATATCGACGTCGTTCTCCTCCCACTTCTTGGGCTCAAAGGTATCCCACTCCATCTTTCCCTGGACGGAGCTGGGATCACGGCCAAGCCAGCCCTTGAATTCGTAATCGGTAGACATTTTGCGTTATTGGTTTGTTACTTTGAAGATGAAAAGTAAACAAGATTGTATTGATCAGACCATCTACGTGAGCGCAAGCTATATATATCACTTTGACCTCCAAGATTCTACAACCATCCAAGGCAAGGGGAAGAAAAAATAGGTCGGACTCCGCAACGTCATCGAAGACCCGAGAATTTATCAGCATCTAACTACGGAGTATGAGCGATGCAATGCTATGGAATGGAGATGGATATAAACGGAGTTAAAATTTCCATTTGGGACTGGACGCAAAAAGGAAGCCATCGCCGTCAGCCCACTAATCCAAGTCCGCATTGACGGGACGAGCTAGGGGGAGAAAGAAAACTCAAGACCTTGATCGTAAGGGACAAAAAGACTTGGTCAACTTAGTATAACTTTAGGCTGCTTTTGCTAAATTTATTTTAGTATCCTCTTCTAAAGCATCATGTTTTCTTGCTCCCTAAGGGCCAGCAAGAGAAAAGGCCCGTAAAGGGAGTGACGTCTCCAGATTGAGGCGGGTCTGGTCTGGTCTGCCACGAGGAAGATGCATCGGCAGTTGGCGATTCAATGGAGATGCTAGACTCGATGGAGAGTGTTAGTGACTATGGAGATGTCATTGATCTTGGTAGAGTCGGACGGTGTTTCTCTTGATCCGAGTATAGGTTGGGTTGGATTAAAGGTCTGACATCAGCGCCCCATCACTTCAAGTTAAATTCTGCTCGGGTCTTGATGTCAGCAGGTTGCATTAGCGCCATCAGTGCTAACTTATCTCCGTAGCAAATCAGAGCCCATCATTGATACTCATCACCCTTCGAAACAGTTCAGAAGCAGTGAGAAAACATCAATTGTAAGCAATAAACAGCCCCAAAGTCTACGTAGTCTTTATCTCTACCGCTCAGTAATAAACTCCTCCTTCTTTTTTCTCTTTTTTCCTTCTCGGAGTTTACAATTCCCTCGTCAGCCAAGTACATAAAGCCTTGACCGAGCGAGTATTGAGGGTCCGGTCTAAACTCGCACTCTTCACGTAAGAATCCCGATGGCAGAGATTACTCAACCGCCGGCTCCGAAACGTCTCGGCCAGCTGCCCCAGTTAACGGAGCTCAAGGACCCAGACGATGATTGGACGGGGATCACTGAGGCGAGAGATAGACGGAGACGGCAGAACCGTCTGAACCAGAGAGCTTATCGTCAGTCCCCTAGTTACTCCCCTCCTCATATTGTATTTTGCTATACTGTACTGTTCATCGAAGTAAAACTGACTGTAGCAGGTAAACGGAAGGCTCGGAATGAGGAATATGCCAATGTCACCCCCGAAGAAATCCACACGAATGGGATCCTCATACTCACTACTGCCAGAGAACGTGCGGTTGCATATGCATTCATGCAACTGGTTCACATGCAACATAGTCTGAAGAACTATCGTCCGGCGCTTCTACCTTCGCTCATCCGTCTCAACGCCGTCAATGCCGTGTCGAGCAATGCAGTCCACATCGGTATTCCACTCCAGGGATTATGCTGCGACGATGTGATATCGCCCTGGAACACGCTAGGTCCCTCATTCGCAGACGGTACCTTGGTGAAGTCCTCATGTCCCGAATCATTGAGGCCAACAAAGCTACAAATCGAGATCGAGCATCATCCTTGGGTCGATTTACTGCCGTTTCCCCAATTGAGAGATAACATGCTAAAGGCATACACGAGTGATGTAATTGATGAAGATGAGTTGTGTATTGATATACTGGGACTTATGAGCAGTCAGGGATTGGATGATGCTTATCTGATCGTTTGGGGAGAAGCGCATGAGGAGATGAGTTGGGAGGTTAGTGTGGGATTTCTGAAGAAATGGGGATGGCTGTTGAAGGGTTGTCCTGAGTTGGTTGAATCAACGAATCGATGGCGACAACAAAGAGGAGAAGCAAAACTAACTATTCAGGTCTAATAAATAACCAAGCGATACGAAAACAATTGCGAGAAGAAGAAAAAAACGAAGCTATGCAAACGAATGTGAAGAGGCATCAAAACAGAACGAATGCGAGGAAAGAAAAAGCACAGAGAAAAATCCAGCGAACGTCTGTCAATCCAGCGACGAACAAGAAATGCTGTGATCACACAAGCTCATCACTTGGAATCGAGGAAGGGATCATGCGATGGTCTTCCACTGCAATAATCGAGGATTCCCCAATTCCCATGACAGGTCAGATACCCATCAACCGCACCAACAGCAACATCTATCACACCAGTTAGCAACGAACCACCAAACCCACGAGCAGAAAACATACTCAAATCGATACTCGTTCGATGAACTGGGTTCCCAAAGCCATTCCTGCCCTTCTTCAAACCACTCCAGCATCCGCAGTTGAAGTTACTTCCCGTCAACTTACACGCCGTACACGACCCGTGAAAATTCCCACTACCGCCATCATTAGCCATCACACCTTTCAGCAATCAACAGTGAGGATACTTACTTTGCGCCACGATAAAGCTCACCCTCCGAGTTAAGCAAACACTTGCTCAGCGCCAGCCACGTACAGAGATACTTGCCATTCTTATCGGGACATTTGGCGACGAGCCATGGTGAAGACTTGTACCCGGTGAAGCTGTTCTTGCGGGGATGTGTGTCGTCTTCTTTGGCGAGGTAGAAGCGCACGTCTTTGCACTTGTCGTAGAAACCACCTGATATAAAGCGTGGTGCGATGCGGGAGGGATGGTGCTGGGAGAGGTTGGTTGTGTTGAGGGAGGGAGGGGGGCTAGCGAGGGCGCTGAGGGTGAGGGTTAGGAGGAGGAGGGGAGGAAACATTTTGATAGTAGTGTATAGTAAATTTGATAGGTTTGTTTGATCTTTGATCCATGGGTTGGAATGGGAGTGGTGGTCATGGGGAGCTATATACTTATGATGTCTGCTCAAGGCCACGAGAATGGAAATCCGAGATTCCCATGACCATGCCAATGGGGATCTTCACAATAAGGAACACATTCGTATCAATTCTTTGGCTAATACATCAGACCCGGTCAAGGCCTTATTGGCATGGCCTTGGGTTGCTATTTCGAGGTGTTGAACAAAGAGGTGAAACACCAGCATTGCCGAGGAGGTGACCTCTGTTCATGAACACTGCAACTCGACTACAAAGGTATCCCAAAGAACTTGGAAAGTATATACATACCAGCGGATGCAGATCATTTTGTTTGAATATGACCTCTCGAACTTTAGGAAGGAATTGAGTCATGGGACGCATGCTATGGGACCGAAGGCCTTGATATGGACTGTACTTTCTCCTGTGTTCAACATCCTCTCAGAGCGAGGGCATTCTTTCAAGACGTCATCATCAATGCTGATATTTCGTCAAGATAACCATGAAAGACATATCTTATCCAATACGGGCTACGCTCGTCCACTCAACGCGAAGGTCGTTGCAACGTATCGCCCAGAGTTCCAACTCGACCAGCAAGATGAACTCCCAGAGACTTGATCCTGACCTCGCTCTCCTTAGCCCCGACTAAAAAGTCGTCTAAAAGGATGCGCCTCCGTATTCAGCACAAACTCATCCAAGCTGATCAAATCCGGCTCCGAGAAGATCAAGTAAAAATACTTCAACGTCTCCGAGAACCAAAAACTCTACACCGTCATTAGCACACATCCTCCCACTCCCATCAAGTCAATAACTCACCTCCATAGAATCAGTCTTTGACGTTTCAGTACTTGTAACATCATCAATAGCCGCATTCGCAAGCTCAGTGCTCGTATACTTCACAATCGCCTGAAACATATCCCACGCCATATCCTGCCACTTCGGATCCGCCGTGAGGCGATACATGATGAACACACTCTCGATAGCTTCAGGCCGGAGAATATATCGCGGATCGCGCGCGTGACGAAAGCCGGGAGGGAGTTTCTGGTTGTTTTGCGGCTTCCAGAGCGATTCGTTCCATTCGCAGGGCGAGAGGGTCGGACAGGCTACTAAGTCGAAGATTTCGGGCATTATACCAGTCGGAAAAGCGCTGTACGCCCAAGCACACCCTCTTGCGAGTCTTTCTCCGATATTGACGTGCTGTTCGATACTGAAGAGTTTTCCGGCGAGTGCAAACATCCCTCCTGCGAAACAGGTGAGATGTTGGCTCTCTGTCGTCAACTCAACCTTTTCACCGACCCTAGCATCACCTAAAAATAGAACGTCTTCTTGTTTCGGCAGCATAGGTCTGTAGAGTAGGTGCTTTATGATAACATCCGCCGCCGTGCGATACATCGTTTCGTAATTCTCGTCCAGACCACCGAGCATGGCATGCATCTTTGGTAGATACTCATAAAGAGAATCTGCCAGCGCACCAAGCGAAAACGAATTATCGTGCGCAGCTTCGTTCTGGAAGTCAAGACCCATGGGCCACATTCCCGGTAAAAGAGTGCTATTCTGGATCCTGAGTAAGAACCGCGATACACGATCTGTCGCGTCGTAGAATTTGGGATCGTTGGTTAGTTGTGAGAGCTTTGTAAACTCCATGACCAACGAGCTCGGCGAAGCTGAAGGGTCGTGAATACCAGCGACTTGTTTGCCCTTTAAAGCATCGTCGAAATTAAGCCAGAACCCAGGGAGTCGATTGGGCGTGTCGAAAGCGATGTATAGCATTTCTCCGAGTTCTGTGGCTTTTTGTAACAATGCTGGTTCGCGACTTAGTTCATACGAGCTGAGGAGACCGCCGAGGTGTCGAATTGTCGTTTCAAAGAGATTGACTGCTTTCTCTTGTGTGCTCCCCCAATCTATCGCCGCAGCCGCACTCGCAGCCTCATTGAATTCCGTCTTCAGACCCATTATCCAAAGAGTATCCAGCGCATCAACCAACGTAGCAGCCCACCCGCCAAACGGATCCTTGGCCTGTCCCGTCAGCGGCATCAACTCATCTCTCCCCCAAGCCTTCAACCTATACGCCTCCCAACCTCTCCTAAACTCCCTCCTCACCGCATCTCTCCTCTTCTCACTCTCCCCCGTCTTTACAAACTTCCTCTTCTCAGCTTGAATCTTCGGCATGCGCTTTGCTTGACCAACGGGTAGAGGCTTGATATCCGCCGGCGGATGAACAAGCCCCACGGTTGACCAGTCAAAAGAGCTCTTTACAAACACCACGCCGCTTTGGTGCGATAATTGACGCCATAGAAAGAGGGTTGTGAGAAAGGCGGCGATTAGCACGACGCGTGAAGGGAGGCGTCTTGAAGCACGGCGACGGAACATGGTGTGCTGAAAGGGACAAAGAAAAGAAAAACAAAAACAAAAAAGGTGTAAGACGTGTTAAGATGACTTCTTTGTTGCAGTTTACGGATTGAGTTAAAGTTAGTGAGTGATAAAAAAGCTTGGGTTACTTAGCCTAAGCTTAGGGGACTCTTTGCTGGATTTATTTTGGCACCTCTTCTAAAGTCTTATGTTTTCTTGCTCCTAACCCCTGTGAGGTGGGATCTTACTCGATGGGGTTGGTGGTCCGGAAGCCTAAAACGAGACTATTTCCGTTTGTGGAAATCCTGGCTTTGATGCTATACATAGTACAAGTGTTTCTTTCGTCTTGCCCGAGCCCCAGGAAAAGATGTCATTGGGATAGTGAGAAGGCAATGTTCTTTGAGAAGACTTGGCTTGTGTAAGTGGTTGGGAAGTCGTGGTGTTGGTGTTGGTTGGACCTTCGTTGGGCACGAGCCTCTGAGTCCTCGTGGACGACAAACAAATAACAAGATGCGCTTTCTGCTCGTGTTCATGAACATGATAATTTACTAAATTATTGTTCCCTTTTTATTTTTATTTTCTTTTGTAATACCGCAGTTCGAAATGTATCGATTCTTGTTAACGCTTGCCTTCCTGAGAGAGGCATTCGCATCTTGCGACGCAGAGCCCTTGGTTCTCCCTCTTCAGGACGTCCAAGTCCTTCCAGATGTTCCCAACTCTTTCATGAAAGGAATTCTAGCCAAAGTTGGGACACCGCCTCAAAATATCGTTCTTCTACCTTGGGCGTACGTTCTCACTTACTAATCACTATCTATGACTAACAGGGACAGCGACCTGAACAACACCTGGATATACACCGAACCATTCTGCAAAGACTCCGGCATCCCAAACGATGAATCATGCAAGACCCGAAGAGGAGGAATATTCAACGAAGAGAAATCTACGACTTTCAAAGGAGCGAGGGATATCGTCAAAGCAGGTGGTGCACCAAACGAGACCTTCTTCAAAGGCGGCCAATACGGCGTTCGCAACCTCGTCAACAGCGCAAACGGCGCAATCGACACCTTCAACCTAGAAGGCTCAGCTGAAGTCGACGGCTTTCCCTTTGGTTTGCCAACGAGTAAATGGGATGATACATACAGTACACTAAGCCCCCTTGGCCTGGGCAGAAATTCAACGTATCTCAACACCTTGCGCAAAGCTGGAAAGATTGGCTCGCGAGTATGGTCTATATTCTGGGGACGCATGTGGATCAAAGACCCTCTTGATGGATCTTTGATTCTGGGTGGCTATGACGAGAAGAAAGTGACTGGCGCGAATTACACTGCGCCGCTTGTGTATGGGGATTACGATGGCTCGGATGGGTGTTGGACTGGTATGAAGGTGACTTTGACTGATATCCAGATCAATTATCTCGGTGGAACGAATGTCAGCATCTTTCCCAAGGGGACGACCCTGCAGTGTTGTATCGATCCGGCGAATCATCTGCTACTGGAGGCGCCGACGCCGTATGTGAAGAATTTTGAGTCTATCAGCGGCTTGAGGATGAATTACTCGTCTAGTGGGCTGCACTGGAACGCCCTTCAAGCAGGTATTGACAAGCAGTATGCCACCTTTTTTTTCATTTTAGGCTTGAGTACTGACAGTAGTAGGTTTGTGGCAGATCTGACCTTCCATCTCGACTCTGGTCTCAACATCCGCGTCCCAAATAACCAATACATGATTCCCAGCGTCGACATCGCCTCCAACGGCTCACGAACTACCGATAACTCCAAACGCGATATTCTCATAACAGACATCGAAGACGAACCACCGATCCTCGGGCGATATTTCCTCACAGCGGCGTATCTCATGGTCAATCACGACGCTGGAACGTTTACGCTCTGGCAGGCGAATGCCACTCGGGAAAGAAGTCTCGTGAGAGTATTCGATGAAGAGACGGGGAAGAAGTGTGAGAATACCACAGGCGTTATACAGCCTTCTGCTTCTGAGAGTCCAAGACCAGATGGAGGGAGTGATTCGAATTCGGGTTCACCCTCCGGTGCGGTCATCGGCGGCGCTGTTGTTGGTGCTATAGCTGGAGCGGTGCTGATAGGGATCGGAATTACTTACTTGGTAATAAAGAGAAAACGAAACTCTGGTAAGTAATTTCTCCAATCTTGTCTTGTGATGAGAGTACTAATTGAGGTTGCAAGATACATACTACTTCTACCCTGCGCACGAGGAGCTGCAAAGAGCGGATATATACGAGATGGATGGAGACACAACACTCGACGGCGAGTCCTATATGAAAGCTGGAATACGGTAGAAGCGATTAAGGAGTGTATGTTATGCCTGAGGTATTGGAGGATGACGGAGAGCTCGTTCGGTATCCAACGCTTTCCGACTTACGCCAGGCGTCATGCTTTCAGGGGCCAAGAGCAGGTCTGATAACATTCGTATGGAATATTATATCGCAATGAACATCAAGAACAGGTTGGTACATAAAGTCAAGAACGAGGAAAGTTACGCGCTTTATATTTGCGTAAAGCCAGCCTAGAACCTTGTGACCTGGGCATGAGCTTCGAATTTCTTTAGCTTCGAAGTCTACATTTCGTGTATCTATATCCAATACCCCTATTTGCACACGGTTACCCAAGATCCAAACCTCAAAACAGTAAACAGCACATATCCGCTGTCTATATAGCTGACGCAGCCTCAGATAGCACGCTGAGCAAGCTTACTGCAGCACTGCCGATTCCAACGACACCACCTCGGCCACCCTTATCATACGACCTTACGGTGTGCTGAAGCACACCCCGACCTTCCTTTTCCCGGTGAGAGTTGCGTTTCGTGCGTATGATATCCCCATTAAATTGGCTTCCGTATAAAACTTTCTGTTTACTTCCAGGCTTTTCTTGCCTCTTTTCAGCCTCGGTGTGTGGGGAATACCACGCGACATCGCTCTGGAGAGTCTTGATAGTCCCCATACGACGGTATCGAACAACTGGCCTACCCTCGTCATTGACTTCATACACAGGAACAACGAGTACATCTTCGTTACCGCAATATGGAAACTCAAAAAGTGACTGTCTGGAAAGAGTTGTCACTTCAGGATACGGAGGTGGAGCACGGGAGGTTATTTTCGCTTCACTGTCGCGAACGAGTTTTGCCACTTCCTCCCTGGACAAAACACCAAGTATGGCCACATAATCTGGTCTTGCTTCGTATCGCACACCCGCTCGTTGAAGTACCTCGACACTGACAAGTTTGCGTGATATCTTCGTCCATTGGGCATTATCAGCTATTGCTCTACCGTATTGATCTGGGTTCACAAGTCCAGAGGGTTGAGCAGGACCGCGCATTCCATTCTTGCCCCTGTATGTGGATAGAGACGAGAAATTGTTGGGTGATGGGTCCTTGGCTAGGTGAGAGGCTTTCGTTGACCGACCTGGTGATGATAGGGTCTGTTGTAGAGCGTTTGGTTCGTTTGGTGCGAGCCTACGCTCGATCTGTTGAATGACCGAATCATCATTGTGTGAAGCAAAAAGGTCCTCTGTTGTAATGAGATCAATTCGTATACTTGTATCGAACTTATTTTCCCCATCTGTCTTCTTTTCATTGTGGGGGACATCTTCCAGAGGCTTGTCGAGTGGGTTGCGAGAATGGGAGAGTTTGTTGGCTGCAGTATCGGCAATATATCCAAGGTCGTTGATATATGCCATGAGGATATCCTGCTCCATGTCAGCATTGATTCACGGCCTCGAGTACTGTACATAACTAACTTTCTTTTTGCTTAGGACTTGAGACGAAAATCCTTCTTTCTCCAGCAGTTTCTGGAAATGTCGCCATAAATCATCATTCTCTCCTGAAAGAGACCCAGCATTCCAGTGGGCAAAAAGGTGAGCAGCAATATGGTCGACCTTGTCCTTAATTTCTTCAAGGTCAGACTGGTGTTGATCATAAATCTGAGGCTTTTGTAACTGGATTGAGTCTAACAGGAACTCGATAGCCATCCTTTTGCCAGCTAAGACCGGCTCTATAGGCTTTAGTTCACCGTTCTTAGAAGCCTCCTCTCCTGGAAGACTTATCCGCTCCTCATGATAGGTATCGAGTAAAGAGTTGACTCGCTTCATGGCAAAATCCCAATCTTCGACCAGTGAATGGAGATGATTTGTGTAGGATTGCTGGATGTGCACAGGCAACTCTTCTTGTTCCTCGGCGACTTCGTCTCGCAACCGTCGGAGAGTCATTTCAAGTTTGTACAATTTGGTTGCCACATTGGTGAAACCTGGGCCATATGTACCGATGCGGCGGTATGAGGCCTGAACCAATTCACGAATGACGTCGATCTGAGCGAGATCGCCACTCTCGGCCTTGGTAGAGTCGGAAGAGTCCGAAGAGTCCATAAGTGCTGCTGCTCGCCAGTATCTCTTTCGAGCAGTCATTGCCATCTTATCACCGGCAAAGCGGTGCTGGAAAAAGTTGAAGACGGCGAACTCATCTCTCGTCATAATATATGAGTCGGGCTGATCCTGTACCTTGGTCCATATTTCTTCTAGTGCAGATTCAAGGATCTCTCTGATAGAAGGATAAGAAGCCCCGTCAGGACTTTCACGAGCGATCTCGAGGCTCTGTGCAACAAGATCCTGTCGAAAGACTGCGCGCTTAGACGAAGACTCAACAGACGCTTCAGTACGAGGCAGGGATGATCCAGATTGGCCTCCCTTCATATCTTCTAGGTGAGTTGCCTGTGTAACTTCCTGCCTTTCGAACGGTTCGGCGAACGGTGAGACTTCAAGGTTGGCTGGTACGTGACCCCTCGACTCCTCCTGCAACAGTCGTATCTCATCACTATTGGGCAGGAATACTCGTGCGGCATTCAAATGTATCCTAATACTGTCAAGAGTCGAACGAATAGGCATCACTTGAGCCTCTCCAAAGGCATCAGTCGAAACAATATGGCCATATAATACGGAAGTCTTCGCATCAACTACCCATGAGCCGGAGTCGCCGGAACTCAGCGCTAGGAGGCCATTAATTAGTTTGCTATAACAGAGGTACTCGTTTGTACTTACAAGAGCCAGGCTCCATGGCAAGATCGTAGACCTCAACGAACGATGATCCAGGGGATATCAGCACAGACGAAGTGTCAAGAGACATCTCTCCAATACGCTTGGCACCTTGTTTGAGTACCATGACTTTCCTAGACACTGATACGCAAGGATTCCCAACTGGAAAAATGATGGGTTCAAGGTCGTTTCCCTCAAAGTCTGACGAGGACTGTCCATCTAAGACTACTCTATTGGGTAATGTCGCTTGTAGGCTCAAATCGATGAGAGCCCAGTCGTAGTTCTGTGCTATCGGTGTATTGAATGTATTGCAAAGGATGTGGCCGATTTCCAAGGTATTTTGAGATGCAGTGGTATTCAGTCCCTTGTCGTCCAGGTGCTCAGGATGCTGCATTGAGCTTTCAGTCGTGAATGTGGAATCGCAATCAGAGTCGCTTTCGGTCTCGGAAGCATCCGAAGATGAGGAAGATAAGGGGACTTCTGTATCACTTGTTGAGAGCTGACTGGAGAGAGGGTCATGTAATTTCTTCAGAGAATGGGCAGCCGTCAAGCCAACCAGACGCTTGTGAGCGGTTTCAACCACGATGATGCCGCCGAACGTCGCCACGGCAGACACATTGCCTCGCCTCAGTCTGATGGGCGCTCCACACCATGTTCTCTCTGGCATAGAGTCCGTTAGAACCTCTATCGAGTCTTCGTCAGTCAGTCGCAAGAGTGCTTTTTCCAACACAAAGACCCGAAAATCGGGCAAAAGCTCTTCTTCAACATGACCTTGCGCGAAGAATTTCCTCACTCGCTTGGCGATCTTTCTTTCGCATTGAATGACGATATGGAGTTGGGCGCTTAGTGAGCTGAGTCCCAGATATTTCAGCTTCATGGAAATATCTCCTGGGTCCTTCTTCCTCTTGAGGATGTAGTCCAGTAGTGGTTGGGTGTACAGGACTTTGATATCGAAGAAGCGCGCTTTCAGTCGGTCAGAAACAGGCCTGTCAAAATGTCTAAGCTCAGTTCCAGGCAGTTCCAAGCTAGGCGGCTCATTTTGATGATCTTGAGATGATGGCGTGGTGATGCCGATGCCGGAATCCGACTCCTCATACTGCGGTGTCTTGGGATCTACCTGTTGTGCAGGTTTCGATGTGATGGTTGGAGGTGAGCGGAAAGGAACAGAAGTTCGCCAATTTGATAACTTGTGCCTCAGGCCTTCCGGGCATTCAACATCAGCGCTTTCTTGGGTAGCCACCTGGGTTGAACTTCCCTCGCCGCCTCTAAGGCGGGATGGCAGTTGCCCATGCCATCTTTCAACGGTCGTCATTTTGGCATAAGTTTTGTACAACTAAATTTCTTGCCATTGATGGAAGAGTCTTCCGACTAAATACAATCCTCAAGCTGTTGAGGGTGGCAGCATATGTAAGATGTGACAAGTGTGCTTGGGGCTCAGCTTCAAGGGCGGTGGCTAAGCATCAATAATGCATAAGTAGCTGCATGAGAATCACAAATCAGGCCAATCACTACGCAACAATTGATTCGAGGCCGACTTTCAAGCCTCGATCTGCAATCAGGCTCTCGACGAATGAGGCTTTCTTCCAGTCCCCGTAATGTCGAGTCCCCGCGCTCTGACGTTTCGACTTAAGTTCACCTCTGATGTTAAGACTCTGCACCGTATTTACTTTTCCTTGTATGATGGCAGCGAGAATTAGTAGCGAACTCAGCCAGGATGTATATCTTGACGTAGCGATGGCCTTATGGTCTTGGGATCTGTCTCAGGCCTGTAATGAGCGACGACTTCATGCCTGTGTCCATCAACGCTGTATGGGTGGCCGCATCCCTCAGCTTCAGCGATATTTTGCGTACTACAAAGCGATAGTCTCAACTTACATGGACGCAACTTCTGCGAACACAAGAAGAATAGAAACACACGAGGATCTGTTCCGGGTCGTTTCCATCTTGAAGTCGAATCCAGATGCGACTCTATCAGAGCTGTGCCGAATGACTCGCCCAAGTACAAGCTCACAAACACCTGACGAAACGAGACAAGTCGATGCGGTGTTACTTGGCGTGAAGGCACTTCTAATGATAGATCCCTCAGCCCTCCACCATTCTTCTGACAGACTCGAGAAAGGGACTTATCGTATTCACTGGAGAGAAGACGTACCTCTCAGTAAATATATACAAGACTCGTTTCCACTTGGCAATCACAATGTACTTAGCTACAACAACAGCGAGTTGTTTGCGGAGGTCAAGAAGGAACTCAAAGCCGTCAACCTGAAGAAACGACTAGGAGTCACCATCAGGGCGACATCAGATATTCGCAACCACCTGCACTTTGACAGGAAAAACAACTACCTCGAGGTTTATCACTACACCTCCTTTCTGAAGGAGCAGTTGAGAGTGACTCGGGAGGTTGGAGATTGTTCTAGTCCGTCTTCTTCACTCAAGAGGTAAGGCCCATGCAAACAAGAACTCTCAGGTTGCTTACAATATGCAGAGGAGTATTACCTCGTCAACTAGTCCTTGAAGTATTGGACTCTCTCCAAGGGACTCTGTTCCCACTTTCGGACCCTAGATCAAAGAAACTTCTCCGCTCACTCATTTCCAAGTGCTCTTTCGACCCAGACATACTAAACTTCGAAGTCAGTACAGTCAGACGCGTGGGAGAAGAGAGTGTTCCGTATGTGTACTTAGCCGACAGGCTAGCAGACTTATACAACGAACTTCAAACTCCTCGACCTCGTGGCTGGCTCCAGCAGTCGATGCAGAGAAAGAGTGGTGCCAGGCATGTAATGATGGCTACACTAATCGGCGTCATTTTTGCTGTGCTCTTGGGAATAGCATCGCTCGCTGTGAGTTCGTACCAGACTTGGATAGCATATCAAGCGTGGAAGCACCCAGTTCAACCAGCCTAGGCTACATGCTTCGACCAGGTTTGGCAACTATCACACCTCCCCAATGTCCCCGAAAATGAGTCGAGTTTGCGCTTCGGCTGTCACATACGACCATAGCTCGTGGAGAACACGGGATCCCGTCTGCTCTCCCATAGTTAAGCCACGAAGCGCTGGATCAGTAGTTGGGTCGGTGACGACCAGCGAATCCCCGGTGTTGTATGTTTCTTTTGTTCTTTTTTGGTGTTTTGCCGGCCGGATATACCGTAAGAAGGTAGAGGAATTGTACGCTAGATGGAGGCGTGATTTCGAAGCCTTGCCCATACTGGCACATCGGTCAGGAATGTATCGTCTAGAGTAATGCCAGTGGAGGATTCCACGAAGCTGAATGCGTTCTTCAACATACTATTCAAAGCTTCTACACTACTCAGGTATATTAGAAATCGATCGTAGCAGCAATCTGGCTCTAACATACACTTCAGTCCTTCTGGCTTTAAAGTTGTCAAACTTGACCACGAAAGAATGAAACGTTGTCAATCTCCCGCGCGCTTCTCCTAAGCTCGTATTTAGACCATCTACTCGCTTCTGTATACACTCCTGTTCACTTTGGAACGTTGCCAACTCCTTATCTGCTTTCGATAAAATCTCTTTCTGCAAAGCGTTAGTAGCTTCGAGGACATTGATCGTGGACCCCTTTTTCTTGTTCTCATCCATCAACTCTTTGGCAGACGAAGATTTAACCTCGAGCTTTTCTTGCAATGCCGTCAATTCAGCTTGCCGTTTCTTAATGCTTTCAGTATTGCCTCGTTCTGTGCCTTTTGAGAGCTAAGTTGCTTCTTAAAATCGACCTTTTGTCTTTCAAACTCGGTTTGATGACGAGATAGCACTTCAATATTCGTATCGTATGCGGTTCGAAGCTTCGCTTTGTCTCGCTTGAGTCTTTAGTTCTCTCCGACACCCCCTTTGAGGTATCGAAACGGCCCTCGGAACCAATTGGTTGATGGCATCTGACGTGCCCTGGTGAGACGACAGGTTCTCGACTCCCTGTACTCGCTTTTCGTGATGCGACGGCATGATGGTCTGGGATAAAGTCTGTACGAGGTTGACGGGACGTTGAATTAGTCTTGAGGATGTAGGAACCGGAGGAGGATAATATTAAAACGAGAAGTGTGGAAGACGACGACAGCCTGGTCAGTCGAGAACTTGATCGTTGGCTAAGCTGGACAGCCAAAGATGGTCATTTGGTCATTTGGTGGGCCTCCCGCCGCATCATGATGCGTGCATAGGTGAACAACTGTTAGTTGCGTTGATCACAGCCTGTTCAATAACAAAGCCCGCTGCAGGCATTCAGTCCATTTTTGATATGTATTGCCTTTCCATCATAAATTTGACAATATGTGACAACCCAAGAAATTTTAGGACATCTGATGGCAGGGCTGTGGAATAGTGCACCAGCTTCCTCATGGGGCACACTCGCACGTCTGCCAGGTGTCATACCGTCCGCATGTCAGCAACGACAAAACGCCTGGGCGTAATTGGAAGATGCAGTGGGGGCAACACATACGTTCCTAGTCCTAGAAAAGACGAAGAGCGAGCGAAGTCCGGCCACGGTTATTGCTTATTCAGTTGAGAAGAAGTAGAAGCGGACAAGTCAATCTCACTGGCCACTCCAGGCTCACGCATGGCATGATTGAAGCAAAGTGATGGTAGAGGAAACTGTTTTCAGAGAGCTGTCAATAAATCTGTAGATATCCGTAAGAGCTTTGGACTGCTACAAAACATTATCCTACCCGTGTGCACCGAGTATGAACATTCGCATTTACAAGTCTGACTGAACAGACTCAGGCGGCAAAGCCAGTTCAGTCACCAGGATCAACAGGCAGCTCCAGTGGAGGACAGGGGTGGACGTATCAGATTGGCCAGGAAAGCAGGCTCTGACGGGTTGTCGATCGGCATCTAAGTGAGACGAAGGGAGGATGAAGCCAATTGCTGCAAAGTCGAAAAGGGCAAGACTTGAATTATCCTATCTACGTTGAAGAAACTAAACCCGGCAACCACGGTTCCGTGATTAAGAACTCACAAAAGCGATTCTACACCACCGTCCTCGATGACCTCTGTCTGTGTAGTAAATGGCCCACTTCTGCGAACATTCGTCTCACAGGACTAAGGAATCGAAGGCTCGCGTAGTAGAGAAAGACGATACATAATACTGGTGCTAAACACTATAAAAAAGTAGAAAGACCGCGATAACATGGCTCCATGTAGCGAGATCTGCCATGCCAGCAGACTTGTAGTCGATATGCCAGGGCCATGCGAGGGTAATGGCAGCACCTGATGAGAGAGAAGAAGCAGAGAAGGCTAGTTAAAGGGCAACTGAAACATGCATGCCTATGTGTACCGATAAAGAGTCTTAGCCCTGTAACAAGGCGTGGTGTCCCAAATAGTCAGGATGAGAAAGATGGTGTGAAAGATTTAGTAAAGAGGGCTTTCGTAGCGGAATGAAAGCCGTCAAACTGATCTGATTTGAGATATTGACTGAAGAACCACGACTGATAGCGTCAGCATCGGAGGTGTCAAAGAATGGTACTGCAAGGACGATCAGCTAGACCGAGCAGGACGCTTAGCACAACATCCCCCGAGAAAAGAGATGATGCAATCATCTCAGGCGCGGAACTTCGTACCCTGTCCCCAGCCCATGTCTAGACTGTGAACGGATACCCTCCCCGGAATGGAGTTCGATGCTTCACGCTAAAGCTCGACTGTTAACATTGTGGATGTTGACTCTCATGACATGTTGGTTCGACGAACATCGATGAAGAGCAAGGATGCAGATTGAATGTATGCGGGTCAGCGACCGTGCATATCGCTTATTCAGGTCTTTATCATACATGATTCGTCCGTGGGCTAATAGGTGAGATTGAGTACGAGAGCTCTGGAGGGTCCTAGAGAGTCAACCGATGTTTTCACCAGTCGCAGACATCAATGGAGGGAGAGTCATTACGCAGCTAGAGCTTCTAAAGTAATCGTTCAATTACTGCCACGGTAACAGCTTCTTCGCCTCTTTTCGCTATTTTACCGCATATCAATGTGTTTCTACGGCCCGTTGGTCTGGGATTGCAGCTATTGTAAATGGGGTAGGTTTCGAGGGCGGTACTACAAAGGAGATCGCAATGGTGAGACCTGTGGAACGAGGCTTAAGTTTCAAGTCCACTGAAGGAGTGCAAACTACGTAAACAAATCACAAAGAGACCCAAACTGATCGGCAGGAAGGCCAAATGAATGATACAGCTTCTCAAATGGAACCGCTGTGCCAGTAACGCAATGTGTGAAGAGGACTTGGCAGAACTTGAAGTTTAGATTCAGGGGCTGGACAAGCAACATTTCAGAGGTGCGTGTGGTGAGACCAACATTGTGTTTCCGGTCCTGAAATGTG